AAGGACAGGTCTACCAACCAGAGGATTGGCAAAGAAGCTACCGAATTAAGTGAGGCCATACTTCAAGCGGAATTAACTGACATCTACCGAGTATTTCACCCTAAAACAACACAGTACACATTCTTCTCAGCAGCTCATGGAACTTTCTCCAAAATAGACCATATCATAGTTCATTCAAGGAACTTAAGCAAATACAAAGGGATCGACATAATCCCCTGTATCCTATCTGACCACAGTGGAATCAAGCTAGCTCTCAATAACAAAGCATACCGCAGAAATTTCTCTAATACATGGAAATTGAACAGCACACTCCTTAACAAGGCCTGGGTAACAGAAGAGATCAGAGAAGAAATAAAGCATTTCCTAGAACTCAATGAAAATGAAAACACCTCACAAAGAAACTTGTGGGACACAGCAAAAGCAGTCCTGAGGGGCAAATTTATTGCCCTCAGTGCCCACATCAAGAGAATGGAGACAGACCAAGTAAATAATCTCATGTTGCAACTAAAACAGCTAGAAAAACAAGAAAAAATGGGACCTAAAGCTACTAGACGAAGCCAGATAACCAAATTGAGAGCAGAGATTAACCAATTAGAAAATCAGAAAACCATAACCAAAATAAACCAAACAAAAAGCTGGTTCTTTGAAAAAATAAACAAAATTGATGGCCCGTTGGCAAGATTAATTAAAAAAAGAAGAGAGGAAACCCATATTAATAGGATTAGGGATGCCACGGGAAACATCACAACACGTACCCAAGATATCCAAACAATTCTAACAGACTACTTTCAAAAGCTATACTCTCTAAAGGAAGAAAATCTGGCGGAAATGGATGCATTTTTAGAGAAATACAAGTTACCCAAACTGAGCAAAGAAGAAGTTAACCAATTAAATAAGCCAATATCCTATAATGAGATACAGGAAGCTATCAAAAGTCTTCCAACAAAAAAAAGCCCAGGACCAGATGGATTCACAGCAGAATTCTATAAGACCTTTAAAGAAGAACTAATACCCATACTCCTCAAGCTCTTCAGAGAAACAGAGAAGGAGGGAGCTATCCCAAACTCATTCTACGAAGCCAATATCACACTCATCCCCAAACCAGGCAAAGACCCAACCAAAAAGGAGAATTACAGGCCAATCTCCTTGATGAACACAGATGCAAAGATCCTTAACAAGATTCTAGCTAACAGAATCCAGAAACACATAAAAAAAATAATACACTATGATCAGGTAGGCTTCATCCCAGAGACACAGGGATGGTTTAACATACGTAAGTCAATAAATGTAATCCAGCATATCAACAGAGCCAAGGTCAAGAATCACATGATTATCGCCACAGATGCAGAAAAGGCCTTTGATAAAATTCAACATTCATTCATGCTAAAAGCTCTGGAGAAAATAGGAATAGAAGGAACATTTCTAAAAACAATAAAAGCCAATTATGACAGACCAATAGCCAATATTATACTTAATGGGGAAAAGCTACAACCAATCCTCCTAAAAACAGGAACAAGGCAAGGATGTCCACTGTCTCCACTCCTCTTCAACATAGTCCTAGAACCCTTAGCCAGGGCAATAAGGCAAGAAAAAGACATTAAAGGGATCCGCATAGGGAAAGAAGAAGTGAAACTATCCCTTTTTGCAGACGACATGATACTATACCTCCACGATCCCAAAAACTCCATCCCCAAACTTTTAGAAATCATAAGTCACTTCGGCAAAATAGCAGGATACAAAATAAACCCACAAAAATCAGTTGCCTTCCTATACACTGATAACGCACAGGAAGAGAGGGAAATAAAGGGAGCAACCCCATTCACAATAACCTCCCAAAAAATAAAATATTTAGGAATTAACCTAACCAAAGATGTAAAAGAACTATTTAATGAGAACTATAAAAAGTTAAAGAAAGAAATTGCAGAAGACACTAGGAAATGGAAAGACCTCCCATGCTCCTGGATAGGCCGACTTAATATAGTAAAGATGGTGATACTTCCAAAATTAATATACAAATTCAATGCAATTCCTATTAAAATCCCAATGACGTACATCACTGAAATACAGAAAACAGTCCAAAAATTTATATGGAACAACAAAAGACCTAGAATAGCCAAAACAATTCTAGGGGATAAAGACAATATGGGAGGGCTATCCATGCCGAACTTCAAACTCTACTACAGAGCTATAATCACAAAGACAGCATGGTACTGGCACAAAAACAGACCCGAAGACCAATGGAACAGAATAGAAGATCCAGATATAAATCCACAGGCCTACAGCCAGCTGATATTCGACAAAGGAGCCAAAGACATACAATGGAAGAAACACAGCCTCTTCAACCGCTGGTGCTGGGAAAACTGGGCAGCCACATGCAGAAAACTAAAAGTGGACCCCAGCCTATCACCATGCACCAACATCAACTCAAAATGGATTAAAGACCTTAACATTAAACCTGAATCTCTGAAACTACTGCAGGACAGAGTAGGAGAGACACTTGAACTAATAGGCACAGGAAGGAACTTCCTGAACAGAGTCCCAGGGTCACAACAAGTTGGAGAGAGACTCGACAAATGGGACTACCTTAAAATAAAAAGCTTCTGCACAGCTAAATCTATCGCAACTAAGCTAGAAAGACAACCAACTAATTGGGAAAAAATATTTACCAGCAATATATCAGACAAGGGGTTAACATCCTGTATATACAGGGAACTCAAGAAACTAATCCCTCCCAAACCTAACAAACCAATTACTAAATGGGCAAGGGAACTAAAGAGGGACTTCTCAAATGAAGAAATAAAAATGGCAAAGAAACACATGAGGAAATGTTCATCATCCCTGATGGTGAAGGAAATGCAAATAAAGACAACCCTGAGATACCACCTTACCCCAGTCAGAATGTCCCACATCCACAAATCAGCCAACGACAAATGCTGGAGGGGATGTGGAGAAAGAGGAACCCTATTACACTGCTGGTGGGAATGTACACTTATACAACCACTTTGGAAAGCAGTCTGGAGGGTCCTTAGAAAGCTAAAGATTGACCTCCCTTACGACCCAGTCATACCACTTCTAGGCATCTACCCTGAACAACAGGAACCAATATACAAGGACACGTGCACCTCCATGTTTATTGCAGCACTGTTCGCAATAGCTAGGATATGGAAACAACCTAGGTGCCCCACCACAGATGAATGGATCCAAAAATTGTGGTATCTATACACAATGGAATATTATGCAGCCATTAGAAATGACAAAATAATGGCATTTGCAGGGAAATGGATGGAGCTAGAAGGAATCATGTTGAGCGAGGTAAGCCAAGAACGAAGAGACAAACGGTACATGGTCTCCCTCATAAGTGGATGCTAAATCCAAAAGGTTAGTGATACGACAAAACTAACAGGACTTAAGAAACAAAGAACTCCCGCTCATCTGGTTGAACCACTACTAAATATCCTCATGCTGCTGATCACAAATATGGTATATAACATGTGAACACTGTTATATATTACAGACTGTGGTAGACAATTTGCTCCAGGGAAGTTAGAATGAACTTGTGACTTTGAAATTATGTAAGCATTTAATCACAATCAAAAAAAAAAAAAAAAAAAAAAAAAAGAACCTCGGGGAAGGGAGGGAGGGAGGGGATGGTAGGGGGAAAACAATGGAGGGGGTAACAATGTTCAAGAGGAAGTGTACTCATAACCTCACTCATGTAACTGTGACCCTCTGTAAAGTAGCTTTACAATAAAAAAAAAAAAAAAAAAAAAAAAAAAAGAAAACCGGAAGTGGCGCTGTAGATCAAGCGGTAGAGCGCTAGCCTGGAGCTGAAGTGCACAAGGACACCGCCCAAGCCCAGAGTTCAAGCTCCACAACCGACCAAAAAGAAAAACTAGTTTTCATCATCTGTAAAATGGAAAAAAAAAAAAAAACTACTTCTGGACTGCCATGAGAATTTAATGAAATAAAATGCTATATATACAAACAATAACCATTCAATAACTGTTAGCTATTTTACTACTTCTGATGAGAGAGGGGAAGAGAATTGAAAAATGACCTCTGAGTTTCTGATTCATATAACTAGGTACCACTGATAAAATTTGAAATTACATTGTTGATGGGGACAAGAGGGAAAAACTGGGAGAGAGTGAGGGAAGAAAGAAATGTACTCATTACCTGACTTATGTAACATAACCTCTCTGTATATCATTTTTATAATAAAAATAAAATGTAAAAAAAAAAAAAAAAAAAAAAAAAAAAACTAACTAGAGCAAAAAAGGGCCGGGAATATGGCTCAAGTGGTGAGCACCTTTACAGCAAGTATGAGGACTTAAGTTTTTACTCCAGTACTGTTAAAAATAAACAAGATATAAACTAATAATTAAGCCTTGTTTTTTGAGAAATGATCTTGCCATATACCCCACCCAAGCTGGGTGACTCAGCTACCCAGTGTGACTCAGTCTCCCATGTGTGGGGATATCACACCCAACTTTAAAATTTACTAATAAGAATCTATAAAAGAACTGGGTATTAGTGGGGTGCTGGTGGCCCATGCCTGTAATCCTAGCTTCTCCAGAGGCTGGGAACTTTACTGTTATCTGAGGATTACAGTTCAAAGCCAGCCTTGGCAGGAAAGGCTGTGGACTCTCAACCACCAGAAAACAGGAAGTGGAGCTATGGCTCTACCTTTGCCTTAAGCAAAAGAGCTTAGGGATAGCACCCAGGCCCTAAGTTCAAGCCCCATGACTGACAAAAAAAAAAAAGAATTGAGTATAAAAAACTGTTCTAAGACAAATGGGTACTTACACAAACTAACAAAACAAAGCAAAAGAAAAGAAAATTGTCCAGTCTTTCCAATAATACATGATTGAAGAGATGCTTCATTCAAAGTATTTTTTTCTCCCAATACTTTTCCTTTTTTTCTGGGGGGCGGCAGTATTGGGGTTTGAATTCAGGGCCTGAGCCACAACTCCAGCTCTTGTCTAAAAGCAATCAATTACCTTGAATGAATTCTCTGATCTTCTTTTCTTTGCTCTCAAGCAATAATCTCACACAAACAGTGGTAAAATACCGATTAGCCACCTCTTTGTCCCGCAAAACCCTTTGCAAGAGCCTTTCCAGGTGAGCCTGTGTGGTCTGTAGTCCTTGTCGACAGCGTGTGAGATAAGCGATGTACGGGGCTCTTTTCCTAAAAAGAGAAATGCTTTGTAGGAGAGCAGATGTATATAGAAGCACTAACAGAGGTTGAGCATCCTGTTTTAAAAAATTAAATTACTTTATAAACTTTGCTTTTAGTTGGGTGCCAGTGGCTCACACCTATAATCCTAGATACTCAGGAGGCTGAGATATAAGGATCACAGTTCAAAGCCAGCCTGGGTAGGAAAGCCCCTGAGACTCTTATCTCCAATAAACCACCAGAAAACCAGAAGTGGCACTGTGGCTCAAGTGGTAGAGTGCTTGCCTTGAGCTGAAAAGCTCAGGGACGGTGCCCAGACCCAGAGTTCAAGCCCCATGACTGACTAAATAAATAAATAAAATAAAATAAACTTTGGTTTTACAAACTGGCATATCCGTCCAGCTGTAGACAAGTCATGTGGGGACTGTTGTCAGCTCAAGAGACAGAACCTTTGGTGCTTATTTCTGACTAACTTCATTAGGTTGAACATTTAGCTACCTAACTCACTAAATGTTTCTAAGTCCCTTCACATACTTGGTCCATTTCAAATGGGAACCTGGTTTCCATGCTGAAGGACCTCCTACTTAACAGGAAATTGACTATTACAGAAGACTAAAAGTACCAAAAAGTGAAAATTACATACAAGCCATTAAGCACCCTCCATTAATTATTTGCTTGTAGCATAAATATAACAAATATTAGAAAGCTTGTTCCCCTATCCTTGGAGGCTCTGTATATGGTCTAACTACCCCAGTTATACTTTTTCTCATAACCATTAGCAAGGGCCTGGAAGCCAGAAAAGGTTAACAATTCCCAGGCCATTCCTGCTTCTCTGGTCCACTAAAGGAATCTGTCCCAACACTTCTGAAACAGGAAAGTGATAATCTAGTTATCCTGGCCTCACTTCTCTGTCACTAAAAACTGCTTGTTTACATTCAGGTAAATATAGCCACCTACTTTGTAGTAAGTCCAGATTCATTTCTGAAATAAGGACCAAAAAGAAAACGCTTGCAGCTACAAGTCAGGTCCCCAAGCTGAATGGTCAGGGCTCACCTGTAGTCCTCGGCGATGGACGCCAGCAGCTTCCTGCAAGTCCTGTTATCAAAGCGGCACACGCAGCGCATGGTTTCCTGAAGTTGAGCCATTAAATTCTTGTCTTGTAAATTGATTGCTTCGGCTATTTGGACTTTTAAGAAGCATACAATTTCATTGTCTAAATACAAAAACAAGGCTTCTGTTATTACTGAGAATTTCCATGGGTTTACATAGCCATCAGCAGCCTCTGAGCATCTGGGATGTCAATTCTACTATACTATGTATCATCAGAACTACTCACATCTAGAAAATACAAACTATCATTACTCAAAGTGCCCTTATGCAACCTAAAACAAATGTATGACGTTGAACAGCTAGATATTGGCAGCTTCATATGGTTAAAGCTGTATCTTCAGGAAAAGCTAAGCTATCCATAGCAACTTACCTTCTGGGTCTGTATGATCTGGCAATCCATTCCTTGTTGAATGAGTTAGCACTGGGAAGGCGACAGAGTCCGCAGAGCAAAGAGCAAGCCTCAGTTTCTTTTTTGCATCTCTGAAGAATAAGTACAGATTGGATTTATTACTTTATCCAGAATAGTAACATTTTTTTCCTATAGTGGTACTAGAGGTTAAGCCTAGAAGTAGCACATTTTACTAAGGCATATGCTCTACCACTGGGCTATATCTTCAGTCAAAACGGTCACATTTTTGATTGTTTAATAAATAAATTCATAAGTGTTGCTTCAGGACTCAAAATTTTCAAATAATCATTTTAAAAAAGGTAAGCCTGACCTGCGCCATAGCTCATGCCTCTAATCCTAGCTACTCAGGAAGCTGAGATCTGAGGGACGTAATTTGAAGCCAGCTGGGGGAGAAAAGTTCCCCTGAGATTCTTATCTCCAATTAACCATTCAAATACTGGAAGTAGAGCTGTGGCTCAAAGCAGTAGAGCGCTTGCCTTGAGCAAAAACGTTCAGAGACTGCTCCCAGGTCCTAAGTTCAAACTTCATGACCAACAATAAACAACAACAACAAAAAAAAACCAACTAACTTTTTTTGGGCTGGGAATGTGGCTTAGTAGTAGAATGCTTGCCTAGTATACATGAAGCCCTGCGTTTGATTCCTCAGTATCACATAAACAGAAAAAGCTGAAAGTAGTGGCTCAAACTGTGGCTCAAGTGGTAGAGTGCTAGCTTTGAGCAGAAGAAGCTTAGGGACAGTGCCTAGGCCCTGAGTTCAAGCCCCAGGACATGAGAGAGAGAGAGAGAGAGAGAGAGAGAGAGAGAGAGAGAGAGAGAGAGAGAGAGAGACACGAGGGGGGAGAAGGGGGGAGGGAGGGAAAGAAATACAGGCATGGCCTGGTATGAGGAAGGCATGAAGAGAGCTCCAGCAGGTTTACTGGGACAGTGGCTGTGTCCCTGTGGCAGGACCCCTGCAGGCCAAGTCCTTGCTTCCTGTGTCCTCCCTGATGTACCTTACACGGGCAGAGGCAGAGGCACTGCAGCCTGTTGCATTTAAATTTACATATGTGGCTCATGGACATATATTAGGTGTTGTTTTTTAATCCCTGAATTAATGCTCTAGGATGTCTGACATCTACAAATAAAGCTAAGTCTTCTTACAAGCAGCACTTCACTCTTTTCTGTTTCATACTATTAAGTGACTTAATGAGTCACTTAACTTGAATGAAATGGTGATTTAATACAAACCCTGCAAACAAATGTAATACCTGTAGGAGAAAGCTGAGTCCTGAGGGTGGGCTGCTTGGCTGGCAGAGTCAGGGAGATCATCAGCTGAGATGTTCTGTAGAGTTTCATCACGAGGAGAATCATGTGCACTTTCACCATCAGCCAAGACCTCTAAGTAAACCCATCCCCAAGATGATGATGAACAGGTTAATGTGGTTCCAGAAGAACTCAGAGCAAGACAACTGTAATAACATTTTTTTATTGTTGTTGGTTGTGGGGCTTGAACTCTGGGCCTGGACACTGTCCCTCAGCTCTTCAGCTCAAGGCTAGTACTCTACCACTTGAGTCACAGTGCCACTTGCAGTTTTCTGGGTGGTTTATTGGAGATGAGTTTCATGGACTTTCCTGCCCAGACTGGCTTTGAACTATGATCCTCAGATCTTAGCCTCATGAGTAGCTAGGATTACAGGTGTGAGCCACCAGTGCCTGGCTGTAATAGCATTTTCTCACAATAAGACTCTGGATGAAAAATATGGAGAAAGATAAACTCCCATACTTAACCAGGTTATCAAGAGCAATGCATTGAGAGAAAATGCTGGAAAAAAGAAAGACTTTTTTTTTTTAAACCGCAAACTAAAGCAGTAAAAGACTAAGTAAAATTAGTTAATATTCTGTAATCAGAATAATTGAACTGGGCTGGGATGGTGGCTCAGTAGTAGAGCGCTTGCCTTGCATGCATGAGGCCCTGGGTTCAATTCCCCAGCACCACATAAGCAAAAAAGAAAAAAGCCGGAAGTGGCGCTGTGGCTCAAGTAGTAGAGCTAGCTCTAGCCTTGAGCTGAAGAGCTGAGGGACAGCGCCCAGGCCCAGAGTTCAAGCCCCACGACCGGACCCAAAAACAAAACAAAGCAAAACAGAATAATTGAACCACAAGAGCCTCAAAAAACATTTTACTAAATAATACCTTTTTTTAGAAACTCCTAGTCAAAAAAAATCCCTTGCCGGGCGCTGGTGGCTCACGCCTGTAATCCTAGCTACTCAGGAGGCTGAGATCTGAGGATCGCGGTTCAAAGCCAGCCCGGGCAGGAGAGACCGTGAGATTCCTATCTCCAATAAACCACCAGAAAACCGGAAGTGGCACTGTAGCTCAAGTGGTAGAGCACTCGCCTTGAGCTGAAGAGTTGAGGGACAGCGCCCAGGCCCAGAATTCAAGCCCCACGACCGACAAAAAAAAAAAAAAAAAAAAAAAGTCCCTTCCTCTGGTATCTTGGTTGGTCATCAGCTGGGCTGAGGTAGATGCAGAACTCAAGCATCCCAAACTCCTAGCAGAGTCCTCCTGCCACCCCCACAAATAAACCAGGGAGCACCTTACAAACATCAAGGGCGCTACTACACTTCCCATAGCTGTTATGTATTTAATTAGTCAGTTAAAACAAGGTCATACATATAATGTCAAAAGAAGTAAAAAGTTTCTGAATGTAAACAAAGATATTGGATTCATTTAGTAAAATATCCTTATTCTTAGGAGAAAAATGTTTCAGGAAAAAAAGAATAGGGAGAAAAATGTAACAAAACATTAAAACAAGTAGTCCAAGTATAGAGAACATGAGCCTTCACTACACAATTCTTTCAACTTTTTGTCATTTGAACACTTTTCAAAACAAAAGAAGCATAACTTCTCTTCTTCCCTCACAGGAGTTCTGTTCACAACCAGGTCATGTTACCAGTTTATGAGAGATGTTTTCAAAAGATTCTTCAACAAGCATACATACAAACACACATACACACACAATTATACACACACACACATGCAAAATGCTACTTATGTATTTATATACTTTTGCTTTTGTTTAGTTTATCTTGAGGACTTTACTAGTATTCCACTATGAGGAGAACAGAATCCTATAAAAACAATGTATAACCTATCCTAAGTGTCTGTGACCTCTCATCAGTGAAGTGGATAAAAGAACACTTCTTAGGGGCTCGGAATATGGTTTAATGGTAGAGTGCTTGTCTTGATGCATGAGGCCGTGGGTTCAATTCCTCAGTACCACATAAACAGAAAAAAAAAAAAAAAAAAGCCAGAAATGGAGCTGTGGCTCAAGTGGTAGTATGCTAGCCTTGAACAAAAGAAGCTCAGGGACAGTACCCAGACCCTGAGTTCAAGCCCCAAGACTGGCCAAAAAAAAAAGAACACTTCTTAATAAAGCACATGCCAAATCCTACTGATGTCACCCCAGCCTTCAAGGATGACAATGCTAAGACATCTGTGCATCTGGGTTATCTGGGGGTGTACAGCTTCATGGACATTATTTGTCTGATTAAGTTACATCTGTAATTCTGAAATAGTATACTGATTCCCTATAGTGATTCATTTTAAAAGCTACTGAAACTAGACTCTTTACCACTAGATAAAAAGGTTACAATTTAAATATTAGTGATCACCTGTACTTTCATAGTTTGCCATTGCTCCTTCACTGGGGCTGCTCCGTTTAATGGCATTCCGGTACTTGTCCAGAATGTCTTCAGCAACCTGAGCTTGTGCACTGAGCCTAGGGCTGGGATCATCTGCAGGGGAAAGGAGAGTATGAGAATTAGCTCCCTGGGCTTGTTCCAATTCTGTTGTTAGTATGATACCAGTAGCATAAATCCCAAAGGCGGATTAGGAGGTAAGAACTTAAAAAGAGCACATATCTCAGTGTTACAAGGCACCATGCAGCTGCCACATCTAGGTCTAAGAGCCTTGCTAAAGCAGGAAACCGGAGGGATCATTTCACCTTATCATCATCACCGGAATTCTGCATGACAGTGTCAAGTTCAGTGCAGACTGAATGGATGATGGGTTTCTAAGGTGCTTAATAATGTCAGTCACTGTTATTAGACATTCATAATAACAGAACTTCCAACAGTGCTTTGTTTTAGAAAGGGAGTCTTACTATATATAGTCCAGGCTGGTCTTGAACTTGTGATTCTCCTGCCTCAGCCACCTGGGTGCCAGGATTCCAGGCATGTGCCACTATGCCCGGTCCAACAATAGAATTTTATGTACAGACTTAAAACATCTCTATGACAGAGTAAAAGAAAGGACTATTTAGGCGGGGCGCCGGTGGCACACACCTGTAATCCTAGCTACTCAGGAGGCTGAGATCTGAGGATCGCGGTTCAAGCCAGCCTGGGCAGGAAAGACTGTGAGACTCTTATCTCCAATAAATCACTAGAAAACCAGAAGTGGCGCTGTAGCTCAAGTAGTAGAGTGCTAGCCTTGAGCTGAAGAGCTCAGGGACAGCGCCCAAGCCCAGAGTTCAAGCCCCACGACTGACCAAAAAAAAAAAAGGACTATTTAAACTCAAGCTGCTTCTTCGTGATGAAAGAAGTGTCATTCTCTATTCTTTCCTCATGACTCTCACTCTCTCTCTCTGTTTCTCTCTACGCCACATTTGAAAGCTACAGAGCCTCATATTCTTGCTCTGTAGATCTCAGCATGTCTGTGCAGCAACCTGCAACAGTCAGAGGCACTGCTAGAGGATCTAGGCATTCTGGGCATATTGGGATGTTACCTGGGCTTCACAAAAAGAAGTTTATCACATCACAAATGTGTCTCTGTTTACATAGGGCTTCTACCCTGTTAACAAAAGCAGACTAAAACAATGACATTCTAGCATTAGGTGTGCTACTGCACACACCCATAATACCAGCAACTGGGAAGTAGAGGTAGGAAGCCCGAGAGTTCAAGTACAACCTGGGCTACCTCGCAAGACCCCGTCTCAAAAAATCAAGGGCTAGAATGATATAGGTCACTGGTAGAGCACTTTGCCTAATACATGTAAGGCCCTGGATAAACTCCTGGGATAGAGGTAGGCCAACTGGTAACCAACCATATGTCTATATTCTGTTAGAATCCAATTTGTAAAAAATTTCTAAAATCACATCAAAACCATTAAATACACAGTGTGTGTGCATGCATATAAATAGCAGTTAAATAAGCAGAAGCCAACATTGATTGAGCATTAGCCACATGCTAGGAACTGTAAGCACTTTATGTGGACTATCTCAATCACTAAACAACCTTATGAGAGGAACTAGTATCAGGCTATTTTATACCAGAGAAAATCAAGGCATAGAGAAATGAAGCAGCCTATTCACAGGCTTTTCTTTTAATTCCACCAAATAGTATTCATGTCTTTGTAAAATTGTATTGTTACAGATAGGATTTCCAAAGTAATATTCTGCTATAATATTTGAATTCAAGATAATAGATTCCTAATCAACTTTTCCAAGATGTAAACTGAAAAAAAAAGTATCATTATAGAACCTCATTTTGGAGTACTTTTTGGTTATAGCTTTAGAGTATTATGAAGACTCTGAAAAGGGGACATATGAAATTTGGCTAAGTAAGAACTACAATGTTGCTTATTACCATTAGCACAATTCTTAACATTTTTAACCCAGGAAAACAATTAAAATAAAACCTGCAATATAGTATTCAGGTTAGTACTGGCTACATAGGGCATAGTGATAGATTATTTACCTAGCATGTATGAAGGCCTGGGTTCAATCCCTAGCACCACAGGGATGTGTGTGTGTGTGTGTGTGTGTGTGTGTGTGTGTGTGTGTGTGTGTGTGTGTGTGTGTGTGTGTGTGTGTGTGTGTGTGTGTGTGTGCATATAGACCTACCTAGCTAGGTAGCTATGAGCACATTATTTTCAGTTAGTATTGGCTACATGGGGCTTAGTGATAGATTATTTACCTAGTATGTATGAAGGCCTGGGTTCAATCCCTAGCACCACAGGGATATCTGTGTGTGTGTGTGTGTGTGTGTGTGTGTGTGTGTGTGTGTGTGTGTGTGTGTGTGTGTGTGTGTGTGTACATATACACATACAGATAGACCTAACTAGCTAGCTAGCTATGAGCACATTATTTTCATCGTAAATAACTAATAAAAATGATTTAAAGCCACTAGGCATCGATAATTCACGCCTACAATCCTAGCTACTCAGAAGGCTGAGATCTGAGGATTGTGGTTCAAAGCCAGCCTGGGCAGAAAAGCACGTGAGATTCTTATCTCCAATTAACTATCTCCCTGCACCGCCCCCACCAAAAAAAGAGAAAAAAATTAAGAAAGAAAAACAACTGGATGTTGAGCTGTGTAGCTCAAAGTGTCACAGCGCTACCTTTGAGCAAAAGAAGCTCAGGGACAGCTCCCAGGTCTGAGTTTAAGCCCTAGTAGAAGTTGGAAGAGGTTTAAAAAGTAATGTATGTTAAAAGAATAAAAGTTGTATAATTGAGAGTCAACCACGGAAAAACTACATTGTACAAATACTGAATGACTGCTGGAGACCATGAAAAATTCACTTGAGCTGGGAAGGTGGCTCAGTGGTAGAGCGCTTGCCTTGCCTGCATAAGGCCCTGGGTTTGATTCCTCAGCACCACATAAGCAGAAAAAAAAAAGCCAGAAGTGGCACTGTGGCTCAAGTGGTAGAGTGCTAGCCTTGAGCTGAAGAGCTGAGGGACAGCGCCCAGGCCGTGTTCAGGCCCCACGACAGACAAAAAAAAAAAAAAGAAAAAGAAAAGAAAAACTCATTTGATAATAACCTTTATTTATTCCTTCAGCAGTCCTGGGGTTTGACCTCAAGGCTTCCCACTCTCACTTGGCTTTTTCACTCAAGAGTGATAAACTTCCACTTGAGTTACCGTTCTACTTTTGGATTTTTGGTGTTTAAATGGAGATAAGAGTCTCACATACTTTTCTCCCTGGGCTGTCTTCAAACTGGGACCTCAGAACTCGTCTCCTGTGTAGCTAGGATTATAGGTGTGAGCACTAGTGCCGAGGCATACCTCAGTGCTTTACTGGCAGCTTTCACCGGGTCATTAATTAGGACTGGGCAAAAAAAAAAAATTTTTTTCTTTTCTTTTTTTTTTTGGGTCGGGTCGTGGGGTCTAAACCCTGAGCTGGGCACTGTCCCTCAGCTATTCAGCTCAAGGCTAGCGCTCTAACACTTGAGCCACAGTGCCACTTTCGGCCTTTTTTTCTGCTTATGTAGTACTGAGGAATCGAACCCAGGACCTCATGCATGCGAGGCAAGCACTCTACCACTGAGCCAACTTCCCAGCCCCTGGGCAAAAATTTTTACCAGGGAATCTACATAAAGAAAACGAATTAGGCTGGGAATATGGCTTTAGTGGTAGAGTGCTTGCCTAGCATGCATGAAGCCCAGTACCACATACACAGTAAAAGCCATAAGTAGAACTGTGGCTCAAGTGGTAGAGTGCTAGCCTTGAGCAAAAGAAGCTCAGCCAGGATCCAGAGCTCAGTGCCCTGAGCTGAAGGCCCAGGACTGACAAAAAAAAAAAGAAAAAGAAAGAAAGAAAGGAAAGAAAAGAAAAGAAAATGAATTATACTATGAAAAAAAGTTAACCTTTCAACTTAACTTCTAGACTTGACACCAAGAATCAAGAAAAATGTATGGCTCAAAGACCCAATTAATGTTACCACTTCTCCAAAAGCTATTAACTTAAAAGCAATTTTACCCAAGGAATTTAAAGTTTTATATTCTGGTATTCTTCTAACACATGAAACCAGGAATATGGAAAGGATACATACATACCCTAGCAAAGCGGCAACATCTTTCTCATACTCCCTAACCAGACTGGACAGTCCTGCCTAATACAGGACATATGTGATTTACTTACTACCCACAACACCTAACAGTGCCTGGCATGAGTCAGTATAATCTGACACAAAACAGGGCAGGTTATGTTGCTTTCAGCAGAGAGCACCTTACCCTGTACATGCACCTGCTGCTCAAAATCCTTTATTCCAGAGAAGTTACTGTACTAGAGGGAGTAGGGATGCATATGCCAGGGCCTGTAGGTATGACTGACATGACAATATGCAGTAAAATGATGGTACCTGTTCTGTTCTGACTACTTTGAACAGACTATTATTTTAAAATCTATTCTATTTTATAATTTAAGACCTTCATTTTCAACTTAGAGGATGGGAGGAAAACATACTTTAAAATCAAAATAGGAAGGAGAGCCAGGCGCCAGTGGCTCACACCTGTAATCCTATCTACTCAGGATGCTGAGATCTGAGGATCATGGTTCAAAGCCAGTCCAGGCAGGAAAGATCGTGAGACTTTTATCTCCCATTAACCACCAGAAAACCGAGAGCTCGCCTTGAGCTGAAGAGCTGAGGGACAGCGCCCAGACCCAGAGTTCAAGCCCCATGACTGACAAAAAAAAAAAAAAAAGAAAAGAAAAAGAAAAAGGAACAGATATGAGAAAATAAACTGCCCTCTAGAGGACCTACAGTGTCTGAGAAACAATATTTAGCTCACACTCAGTGTTGAGTCATTATCCCTACCCTCTTAAACTCTTTTAAGGTGCTCACCATAATGTGTCAAAAAAGAAGCTGCAGAAATACAAATGCCAAATAAAGAACTTAATCTAATCCCTAATTTTATTTTTCTTGGACCAGACAGCAATGTTGCAATGTTCAAGCTGTAAAAAAATTAGTCAAGTTTTAAACTTTTATTATAATGGTTAGCAATTATAATAGTTTGACCAAATACTTTACCATAAAAAAGGAAATGATTAAGTAAAACAGCATTTGATTGTGATCTGAATAACAAGAACAAAAAATAGATGAGAGTAACTAGAATTCTGTGATTGATGTTAGAAAAAGTACTTAATCAGCCCAGAGATACAGCATGCACAGCACTAGAACCGTCACCACTCTCCTAAAAGGCACCATGGCATCATCCACTAGATGGTGAGCTGCAAGGTATGTCTAGAGGCCAGGATCATCAACAGTTATGATAATGAGGATGAGGATGGTGGTGGCGGTCTGCAGTAAGAGCACACTGAGATTCACAGTGGCCACTAGCTAGAAACCACAGAGCTACGGAGAACATCCTCCCCACCGTGAAACACACACAGACACATTCTTCTAAAGAGGCAACGCTATGGCACCCAAGAAAAAGTGTTATGAAATATGTGCTCTGGGAATGAAGGAGCCAGGAAGTCCATGGTCTACAAACCTGTGAGTGTTGAGAATCTGTCAGGCCCCAGATCATCTTTGTCTTTTTCTTGTTTTTCTTTCTTTCTAAATGGTATAGGAGCTGGAAATTAAATAAAGTCAGTAGTGTGACATATAACATACTGCACTACTTGGAAGTTAACTGGTGTGCCAACATTTCTAAGCGAAGAGGTTGAAAAGTTCAAAAGCTAAGAAATCCCAAGTGTGGACTAATATTCATTCTTAAAAGAGCATTGAAGCTTTTCAAGAAGCTTTTAGAATAGTTTTGGAGTCACCTGCCATAGGAAGAATGATTTAGTGGAGATCCACTGAAACTATACAAAATCAATGCCTCTTGTCAAAGACAGAACATTCAAAATGCCTGCCTTGTTTGCTCCTCCCCACCAAGTGGGCTTGAGCATGGTGTGGAAGCAGCTCTCCTCAGCTCCTGAGTAGGGAGAGGCCTGTGGAAGAAATTCCTAGCTTTGAGGTGATCACTACTTTAAAAAAAAAAAAAAAGAGGCTTTTGCCAACTCAAATGATGCCACAGTTTTCACCAAATAAGCAAACAATTTTGTACCTTCCAAACTAGACACTAAAATGCAGGGTGTAAACATTTTCAATAAACATAGACATAAGAGCTTAAATCTAGTCCAGCAGTGTAAAGTATGAACTTTCAATGTGACATTAACAACAGTATCTATTTTTCTGCAATAATACGACAAAAGTCCTGTCTATTTTAATGGCATTTAAACAAGTGACCGGCATGACTTCCATTTATGAAACCAAAAAAGAATATTTCTAAAGCCTAGCATTCTCCTAGGTGAAATTATTTTCTATACTCTCAAACCAGCTAGAAACTTAGGCCCAGTATACCTCACAGAGTTGAGATACTGAAGTTCTCAATGAGATTTGGGGCATTTTGTTTACTAAATAACACTCTTAAAATTTTACAAAATTACCTTTAGGCATGGCTGAAACAAAACGTTTTCTCCACCAAGGTCTGTTCCTGTCTGATTTCTCATCATCGCTATCTTTGCGTTCTTCAGTCTGTAGAAAAAGTTTGATGCTTTATTTGGAGTTGAGCAGCAGGATAAATTGCTATGAAAAGGATTTTGGTAAGTCTGTTAAATACAAAAACCATTCCTATTTACCTTAAAGCAAAACATTTTTTGTCTCAGTACCTTATGTATGCAGGCAAGTGTTCAATCACTGAACCACATCTCCAGCCCACAAAAATTCTTATTGCTGTGTAAGTATCTTTTGAAACATGGAAGTATATCTTTCAGGCAGCACTGTTATCTGTTTGAATGAGGCACTTTTTCACTGCTTACTACAGAGCCTGGCATACAGAAGGCACTCAAGAAATACCTATAGACAGGCTACGGCTGGTTCTCAGCAACAGAATATGTGATTAGTTCTGGATTTGATACTCAGCCCAAAAAGTCAATCCAAGGGCTGGGAAGGTGGCTCAGTGGTAGAGTGCTTGCCTCGCATGCATGAGGCCCTTGGTTCGATTCCCTAGCACCACATAAGCAAAAAGAATAAAAGCCGGAAGTGGTGCTGTGGCTCAAGTGGTAGAGTGCTAGCCTTGAGCTGAAGAGTTGAGGGACAGTGCCCAGGCCCAGAGTTCAGGCCCCACAACCGGACCCCCCCCTCCCCCCCCCCAAAAAAAATCAATCCAAACAAAAACTTCAACCCATCAAATCTAAGACACTTATTAAATACAATACAAATAAACTCTAGAAGGGTAGTAAAGAGGGTAGCAACAGCAATAATAGTAAAACTGTGTATTACATGCTAAATGCTTGAGTGTAAGAATGCATATTATCTAATTTGATCCTCACAGAAGCCTTAGGAGAAGTCTGATTATTAAGTCCTTTAAAAGATAGGAAATATGAAGCTAAATGAAGTTATTTTCCCAAGATACACAGCTTATATCTGGTACAGCTGAAAGTCAAACTAGACCTGCCCAACTACTAAGTCTAGGTTTGATCACTGATTATACAGTTACCATTAACTCTGTCAAGTCACAAGACAGGACTTGTAATTCCTTTACTAGCCTATTATAAAACAGCAGACAAATTGCTTAACATCCATTTATTCACCTACAAAACTGTAATTAAAAATGGCTTGTTCAAGCTAGACACTAGTGCTCACACCTGTAAGCCTAGAGGCTGAGACATGGAGAATCTTTGTTCAAAGCCAGCCTAGACAGAAAAATCTGTGGGACTCCATCTAACAAAAAGTTGGGCTGGAGGCATGGCTCAAGTGGTAGAGTGCTAATATGAACAATCAAGCCAAGTGAGTGTGAAGTCCTGAGTTCTAGCCCTGATACCAGCAAAAAAAAAAAAAGCTTCTCCAAGTGCAAGCATGTAAACAAAGAATCAAACTCCAAGCAGAGAAATGAGGGACAAGAACTGATTACTCATAAAGAAGTAAGCATGAGAAACAAGTTTCTCTTTGTCAGAGAAAAGACAAGAATGAAAAAGAAAAAAAAAAAAACCCAAGAACTAAAACCACTGTCATTTATCTGTGTGAGCTCATGGTTCTCTCTCTATATATATAAAGATAGAGCTCTGAGAGTGATGGTGTACTCTTGTAATTCCAGCACTCAGGAGTCAGAGGCAAAAGGATTTTAAGTATATGGAGCGTGCCTTCTCGCATATACGTGCGAGCATGTGCGCACACGCCTGCATACACACACACACAATTCGTCACTAAAAGGAGCCAGGGCCCCTTGGAGAAACTGCTGATTCCAGAACTAGAGTAGAGAATACAGGATATACTTGTAACACCTTGAGCCAGTAAGACAAGGAATGACAGAAGCACAACAAAGAACCCAAAGCCAGCTTGACAGATTGCTCACTGGCCAAATTGGGGATAATAAATGAGAGTAAGCAGCTCACTGACTAAAACAGAAAACCATATATAGAATAAGTAGGGAAATTAAAAAATTTGATGAAGAGGTTGGTTACATATTCTCCAAGTCCCTTTCCATGAAATACTTACTAATTATGAAGAAAAAAGAGTAACTTTCCAGTGGTAAACCTGACAGGCCAGTGTTGGGGCAAATTAAATTATGTGCCACCTGACAGAAAAAGTGAAGAGAGCACAGTTATCTCGTCAGTGACAGGCCTGCTAGAGATGAACAACCTACGTCTACTCATGTGACAGCATCAAACAAATCCAAGTTGAGGGACATTAAAGAAAATGGACTTCGAGATCCTACAAGGTAAACAACAACAACAACAGCAACAAAACAGAGGGCTTGTTCTAGACTGGCAATTAAAAGTGGCATGTGATTTTGAGTGGAGTTTTTTTTTTACCACATGAAGTATTTTTTTTTTTTTTTGGCCAGTCTTGGGGCCTGAACTCTGGGCCTGGGCACTGTCCCTCAGCTCTTCAGCTCAAGGCTAGCGCTCTACCACTTAAGCCACAGCGCAACTTCTGGCTTTTTTCTGCTTATGTGGTGCTGCAGAGTTGAACCCAGGGCCTCATGCATGGAAAGCAAGCACTCTACCACTGAGCCACCTTCCAGCCCCACGGAGTATTTTTTGCTTTTTTTTTTTTTTTTTTTGGGTCCGGTCATGGGGCCTGAACTCTGGGCCTGGCACTGTCCCTCAGCTCTTCAGCTCAAGGCTAGCACTCTACCACTTGAGCCACAGCGCCACTTCCGGCTTTTTTCTTTTTGCTTATGTGGTGCTGAGGAATCAAACCCAGGGCCTCAGGCATGCAAGGCAAGTGCTCTACCACTGAGCCACCTTCCCAGCCCTCACGGAGCTTTTTTTTTTTTTTTAAGGTGAATGGTCTTTTTTTTGGGGGGGGGGGGGTGTCCAGTTGTGGGGTCTGAACTCTGGGCCTGGGTGCTGTCCCTCAGCTCTTCAGCTCAAGGCTAGCGCTCTACCTCTTGAGCCACAGTGCCACTTCCGACTTTTTTCTTTTTGCTTATGTGGTGCTGAGGAATCAAACCCAGGGCCTCAGGCATGCAAGGCAAGTGCTCTACCACTGAGCCACCTTCCCAGCTCCTCATGGAGTATTTTTTATATAGGCAACTGGGGACACACCAATGGGGAGTGAGAACTAGATAGTATTAATGTTTCAGTGTACATTTCCTCATGCTGCCAGATGTCAAAATGACATACAGGAGAATGTGATCGTTAAAAAATACACAAAAAAATGTTGAGGGACCAAACATCAGACTAACAGCTCTACATGGAAAAAGTATTCCTTTATCATACCTTCAATCTTTTATGACTGTTTCAAAATAAATACTCCAGGCAATGGTGTCTCACTCCTCTAATCCTAGCTACTCAGGAGGCTGAGATCTGAGGATCATAGTTCAAAGCCAATCTGGGCAAAATATATTTATCTTCAACTAGCGCCAAGGCCCAGAGTTTAAGACCCAGGACCAGAGAAAATAAATTACTCATGTAACTGGAACCCCTCTGTACAGCATCTTTACATTAAATAAAAATTTAAAAATACCTTTCCTAACCCTGTGATACTGTTAAGTTTTAATGAAATTAGGTACAAAACTGCTTGGAGAAGAGTTAAAAGTGCCATAAAAATGTATGACAGTATGATCAAAACCGAAGTTGTAGAGGTTTCCTATGGGTTTTGGTGGTGGCATACTAGATAGACAGATCATCTTCAATCAGTATTACAGTCCCTCCTTAATCCTGAATTTACATAGCGAATGTTCATTTCAGACATGAAGAAAACCTCATAGAAGGAACAGTGAACTGAACACAGTGAGCCAATTCTACATGGCTGTGACCCATACCTCTCCTCTGGAGGAGTCTTTACTCGGGGATGATGACGATGAGTGACATGCAGCCACCAAAGAAGTAGCACCAATGGCTGCGGCTGGAGGAAGTTCTCGCTCTTCATTTCCTGGACGTCGATTCCAGCTGGGATCACTCATGGGCCGTCGGACAGAAGAAACTATGTCAGAACTCCTGCTTCGAACTAGTCTCTCAGGGTAAGAGTGCCTTTGTCTGAATGCCTCCATTTCAGCGGGAGTTAAAATGTGAGAACCAAAGTTGGGCAGCCTGGCCTCGTTTCCTCCCACTGCTCCTTCCAGGATTGGGGGATCTGGTGGTGGATGTGATGGCCTAGCATAGTGAACTTTCGGTCTTACCACAGCAGAAGCCCCTGTAACATGGAAAAGAAGCTTTGCAGCTAAGATACAACTAATCCAATAAAAGCATTAACAAAAGGCTTGTTTTCTTGTTTTTGTTTAAGAAAAACTCCAACTGTTCACTTCACTAGCTTACCTTCATGAGAAGCAAGTGGATCAAACATGGCGAGCAGAGACTCTGACTGAGAAGGAGGAGAGGTCAGCTGGTGGGCACCTAGAACGGGAGGCAAACTGTGAGAGCAGATGGAGACAAGACAAGCAAGTGAAGGGAACACGACTATACAACAGTTTTCCTCTTTTTGACCAATAAGAATATGAAGAGCATGCTAATAAGTATCAAATTCTGATTACTTCAATTTTTTTTCTTTTATTTGGTGCCAGTCCTGGTACTTGCACTCAGAGCCTGGGCACTGTTCCTGAGCTTTTTTGCTCAAGGCTAGTGCTTTACAAATTTTTTTTTTTGGTCGGTTGTGGGGCTTGAACTCTGGGCTTGGGCACTGTCCTTCAGCTCTTCAGCTCAAGGCGAGAGCTCTACCACTTGAGCCACAGCGCTACTTGTGGTTTTCTAGTGGTTTATTGGAGATAAAAATCCCACGGACTTTCCTGCCAGGGCTGGCTTTGAACTGCGATCCTCAGATCTCAGCCTCCTGAGTAGCTAGGATTACAGGTGTGAGCCACCTGGGCCCAGCTGTTTTACAATTTGAGCCATAGTTCTGACTTTTTAGTGGTTATTTGGAGAAAAGAGACTCACAGACTTTCTTGCTCTAACTAGCTTCAAACCATGTCATGATCTTCAGATATCAGTTTACTGAGTAGCCAGGATTACAGGCATCAGCCACCGACACCCAGCTCAAATTAGTTTTAACATTTTTTTTTTATAATTTTTTTTTCCCCCGGACATGGGGCCCGAACTCTGGGCCTGGGTGCTCTTCAGCTCAAAGCTAGCGCTCTACCTCTTGAGCCACAGCACCACATCTGGCTTTTTCTGCTTATGTGGTGCTAAGGAATTGAATCCAGGGCCTCATTCATGCAAGGCAAGCATTCTACCACTGAGCCATCTTCCCAGACTTTTTTGTAAGTTTTTATTGTGGTTAAGTAATTACATAAATTTCACAGTATTTTGAGACAGTGATAGTTAAAGTCACAAACATATTCTAACCTTCATGAGGCAAATTGTCATTATCGTGGTCTATAAAGTTTGTGAAACCTATGAGCATTGACAATGTAACTATTTCTTCTACATCCGTTGACATGTATAGTTCTTTCCTTTTGTTTAGTGTAAGCTGTTCCCATTTTCCCTCTCACTCCCTCCCTCCCACCACTGCCCTTGAGTTGCTTAGTTCAGAAATGTCCAATGCAGCTGATGGGCCCCTCTGTTGTATGTTTTCCCCGTTTCCCTCTGCTTCTGTGTCCTCCTCCTAGCTTCCCTCAGAGATGGGCAAATATATATATATATATATACCATATATTACATTTGTTTTTACATACAGATTCTATTACATTTGGGCATCTAGCACCCACGTGGCTAATGTCCAATGGCCAAATGCAATTATGGTTCTTGCAGACAGCACATATCCGAAAGACCTAAACCATCATAGTTTATATGATTTCTCAGCCTCCCTCAGATTCACTTCCATCCCCCATTATAAATAGGGTAATACTACCTGCAGAAGAGCTATAAAGAACTGTATGACTTGAAATTCTAAGTTTTCAACAAATAATGTTTAAAAGACCCGTAAAAGAAATGAATACATTAGACCATAAAATAAACACTATCATCTAAAGTATACTATTTTAAGCTATAAAGGAAAAAAATATTCCCCTGAGCAGATAGGCAAAACTAGAAACATTTCAACAGATACATATTCAGAGGCTAAAACTTTTGAATGTAAAAAAGAAACTGTTAATCTTTTTTTTTTTTTTTTTTTTTTTGGGGGGGGGGGTCTGGTTGTGGGGCCTAAACTCTGGGCCTGGGCACTGTCCCTCAGCTCTTCAGCTCAAGGCTAGCGCTCTACCACTTGAGCCACAGCGCCACTTCCAGCTTTTTTCTTTTTGCTTATGTGGTGCTGAGGAATCGAACCCAGGGCCTCAGGCATGCAAGGCAAGCACTCTATCACTGAGCCACCTTCCCAGCCCCGAAACCGTTACTCTTTAAAGTATAAATGAATTCATTAATTAATGTATTCATTGTGCCAGTATTGGGGCTTGAACTCAGGGCCTCGAGCTTAACCATTTTATTTATGACTGGTGTTCTACCAAATGAGCCAGGCCTCCAGTTTCAGATTTTTGCTGGTTAATTATAGATAAGTCTCATGGATTTGTCTACCCCCGCAGGCTTCAAACTGAAAATCTGATATCTCAGCTCTTGAGTAGCTAACAAGTGTGAACCACTGGCACCTACCTGTTTATTTCTGTGTGTTTTACTGGGCACTGAACTTAAGGTCTCAAGCTCTAATTGAGTCATGCCCTTAGTCCCTTAGCTTTTTTAATTCATTTGCAGTTGTCTCTCTATTTTGACTGGGTTGGCCCTTCACTATGATTCTTCTATCTCTACTACCTGAGTTTCTGGGATTACAGATATGCACCACCGGGACTGACCCTGAAGCTGTGTTTTCTGATAATGAATGACAATGAATGACAGTGTGATTAACCTTTTTGATAGTAAATATAGCTAAAAGCTGTATTTCTGGTCTCAAGATTTCTTTCTATTTTTTTTTCTTTTAGTGATATTTGTGTTTTGAACTAAGGGTTTCATGCGTGCTATGCAGACACTCTTACCTCTGAGTTGCACTGCCAGTCCTGAACTTTTATTTATGAGATAGGGTCTCATTTCCTGCTCAGGTATAATGATCATCTATGTTAGGGTTTCCAGAAGAGCAAGGAAACATGCATGAACTACTGAGTGTAGTCCTTCATTGAGAAGGGGTCTCATGGACTTTTATTCTCAGGCTGGGTTTGAACCTTAATCCCTATAATCTCAACCTCCAAAGTGGCAAGAATTATAAGTTTGAGCCACTAGTGCTCATCAGGGACTCTCTTACACTCTTAGCTTTTGTTTATGCTGGTTCTAGCTATTGATATTTTTCATATTAGAAATTAAAACTGAAAAGCTTATTCACTTAAATTTACCAATTAAGTAGAAACTTTAAAATGAAAAGCATTATTTTCCAAAATAAAAAGCAAGGGGAGGAACACAAAGGGGCAATGCCTCAGTACCTTCCATCATTTAAAATAATATTCATCGAGATGAAACAAAATAATGAGAAAAACCATACAGTTTACACACTTTTACAACTTTCTTCGATGTACTGTTTAATGGAGCACAGATGGAGTCTCTTATCTGCTTTCAGTTTTAACATATGTAGTATGTGGTTTTGGTTTCGGCATATGAAGAAAATCTGGCTTCACATAGATATGTAGCTAGAAAAGAGGATGGTATTTTCCCTTTGTTTATATTTTATTTTTTATAGTGTTGGGAGCAAACTTAGAGCTTCGTACATGCTAGATAAGTGCCTTATCATTGAGTTATACTACTATATTCTGGGGAAATACATTAACAGTCTAAGAAAATTACAAATATTCTTCATTGTTACTCTAACCAACTCTTGGCATGTCTTTCTTTTCCCCCCATGCTTCAACCATTTAGTCCAAGTTAGACTTGAGCGTACTATATAATGCAGTCTGGTCTCAACTTTGTAACTACCCTACTTCCTCCTCTAAACTGCTGGAATTACAGACATACACCACACGTAGAAGACAAGTAGTTTTTGTAAAAGCTAAACAGTAGAATCTGAAACTATGTAGAGAACTTTTTGCTTTCTAATACATTAATACTAGTCTGTCTTTATTTCTTACTAAATCTTATTCTATTCCATAAGTTTATAATACATTGATAATTTAGAAAAAAAAAACAATGAGTTAAGATTTTTCCAAATATTTACACATTTATTATACATTATAGTTTTTAAAAAGAAACTATCACATTCTTAAGGCTGAGTGTGGTGGCTCAAGCCTGTACTCCTAGCTACTAGAAGAGGTAGAGATTAGGGCATCATGAATTAAGGCCATCCTGGAGAAAAAACAAGACTATCTTAACTAATGGCTGGGTATGATGGCATGCAACTGTCATCCCAACTACATGGAAAGCACAAACAGGAGTAGTCCAGGCTGTATAGCTAATCCTACCTCAAAATTAACAAATGCATGTGCTGGGCTGGTGGCTTAGGGGTAGAGTGCTTATCTAGCTGGAAGTGATGCTGTGGCTCAAGTGGTAGAGTGCTAGTCTTAAACAAAAGCTCAGGGACTGTGCTTATTAGGCCCTGAGTCCAACCCCAAGGACTGACCAAAAAAAAAAAAAAAAAATAGCAAAAAAGACTGAGTGGCTAAAGCATAATACCTTTACTTCAAAACCTAACACTCGGGGCTAGGAAGGTGACTCAGTGGTAAAGCGCTTGCCTTGTATGCGTGAGGCCCTGGGTTCGATTCCTCAGCACCACATAAGCAAAAAGAAAAAAAGCCAGAAGTGGCGCTGTGGCTCAAATGGTAGAGTGCTAGCCTTGAGCTGAAGAGCTGAGGGACAGTGCCCAGGCCCAGAGTTCAGGCCCTACGACCGGACCCCCCCCCCCAAAAAAAAAAAAAAAAACCTAACACACAAAAATTTTAAAAAGGGCTAGGAATGTGGCTTAGTGGTAGAATGCTTGCTTAGCATGCATGAAGCCTTGGATTCAATTCCTTAGTACCACACAAACAGAAAAGGCTGGAAATGATGCCGATGCTCAAGTGGTAGAGTGCTAGCCTTGAGCAAAAGAAGCTTAGGGACAGTGCCCAGGCCCTGAGTTCAAGCCCCAGGACTGGCAAAAAAATAAAAAAATTATTCTCATTTTTCTTTCTTACCATGAGTTAATCCCTACAAGTCAGACCATCATAAGGAGTGTATGAGCAAAAATGTGATTTGATTTCTGTGATATTTTGCAATTGGATGCATCTCTAAAAGGAAAAAGATGCTATGTCTAGAATCTTGGTACAGTGCTGGTGCTCATATTGCATTAAGGAAAAGCTGGTATTTGTTCAAAATTTCCTAAAGGTAACTCAGATTACAGAAAAAAGTGGCCATTTTATTTATTTATTATTTTTTTGGGTCCGGTTGTGGGGCCTGAACTCTGGGCCTGGGAGTTGTCCCTCAGCTCTTCAGCTCAAGGCTAGCGCTCTACCTCTTGAGCCACAGTGCCACTTCCGGCTTTTTTCTTTTTGCTTATGTGATGCTGAGGAATCGAACCTAGGGCCTCAGGCATGCAAGGCAAGCGCTCTACCACTGAGCCACCTTCCCAGGCCCCCTTACAAATTTTTGTTAGCGTTTCCAGCAGGCCCACAGAAAAGAACAGAGGAGTCTTACAAGTTTGTCAGATGTAACTTTCGCCCTTAATAAGACCATGCTTTTATAAAACTAATTCCAATGACAAAAAAAAAAAAAAGCTATTCTCATTTTTCTTTCTTACCATGAGTTATTTCATCCATATCTGGACTAGTGACAGAATCTTTACCCCCAAAATCAGAGCTGCACTCAGATCTGAGGTCTTCAATCTTATTGGGAATGTCCTCAGATGTTGCACTTATTCCTTTAAAAAAAAAATTTAATAATGAGCAAAAAAGAAAAGAAGCACAGTAGTCATACAAAAACTACATGAAGTTTAGATATAAAGTATATGGAATTTAAACACTGTCAAATTTTCCTTTCTTCCTTCCCTCCCTCTCCTCCTCCCTTTCTTTCTTTGGTGTGCCAGTCCCAGGGCTTGACCTTGGGGCTTGGGAGCTGTCCATGAGCTCTTCAGCTTAAGACTAGTACTCTACCACTTAAGCCACAGTTCCTCTTCTGGATTTTTGTCATTAATTGGAAATAAGAGTTTCTGGGACTTTGCCTGCCCGGGCTGGCTTCAACTGTGATCCTCAGATCTCAGCCTCTTGAATAGCAAGGATTATGTGTGTGAGTCACCAGTACCAGCTTAACACTTCCAAATTTTATGTATCATTGTTCTGTACATATGAGGTGTTAAGTATTATATATCCTTTATTATACTGTTCAAATGTACTTACCTTACTTTTATATAACAGCTTATATAACTTTTATATAAGCAGAATTATCATGTATTACCTAAATACTGTAACACAGGCTACTAAGAATAAAGATATTGCCAATTACTTCAACAGGATGTAAAAGCCATATGTTAAGTTCTCAAAATAATTTTGTTCCCTGGAAAACCACTGGTTCTTAAAAAAAAACATATCTCTTTGAAATCAAATTTATAAGTGAGGAGGAGGGGAACACCTTCAAATTCCTATACCTTAAAACAAGACAGACATACCGGACACAACACTGAGGCCTGGTGTGCTGGGGCGGGAACTGACCTCCCTGACATCCGTATCATCAGATGTGCTGCCCAGTCCAGAACAACTCTCCAGCTCTTGTAGGCGCTCCTCTTGCTTTAAGTCTGGGGCCTCTAAACCAAAGACAGGAATCACTTAGTGATTCTGTTAGGTATACTATAATGTATCAGGGTATGAATAAAATTAGTATAAATAAGTTTTCTAATTATAGACCAAACCTAGTTAACAAACCTAGTTAGATCAAGTGTCAAAGGAGTAAGGTATGTTTTCAGCTCAATGTAAGCTAGGTGACAATTGTTTCTAGATCATTAACCTTTGTTGGTTAATATGTAACTTGACAAAAAAGTACACAAAAATTCAGAATAACTACTTCCTAAATTAGAGCTTCTACAGATACTCAATTGATGGTAGGCTAATCACCAGACAAGGGGATCATGTCTGAATATGCTACATTCCAGAACGTACTTTTTCTTCTCTTGGTGGTACTGAGGTTGAATTTCAGGGCCTCAAACATAATAGTTATGTCCTTTACCATTTGAGTCATACTTCCAGCACATTTTGCTCTTCTTATTTTTGATATAGGGTCTTGCTTATACCTCAATCCTCCTACCTATGGCCTCCAGAGTAGCTGGGAGAATAGGGCTACAATACCATACAAGGCTTGTTTCGTTGAGATAAAACATTTTATTTATTCTTTTTTTTTTTTTCAGTACTAGGGTTTAAACACTGGTCCTATGTGTGTTAGTTAGGCAGGTGCCCTAAGGATTGAGCCCCACTCCAGCCTTATTTTCTGCTGGTAATTTTTGTGATAGGATCTCACTTTTGCTCAGGTACATGTTTGGCATGACTTATCTATGGTAGCTTCCTGGGAACTAGAATAACAGGTACATGCCACCTGGTCCAGAGAAATGAGGTCTTGACAACTTTTTTTCTAGCCTGACTTGAAACTGATCTGCCTGATCTCTACTTCCCAACTGCTGGTATTACAGATGCAAGCTATCATGTCCAATCTCTACTTTTTCTTTTTTTGTGCTGTCTGGGCCTGGGCACTGTTCCAGAGCTCTTTTGCTCAAGGCTAGAGCTCTATAACTTGAGCTATAGCTCTACTTCTGGCCTTTTTGGTGGTTAATTGGAGAGTAGAGTCTCATAAACTTTCCTGCCTGGGCTGGTTTTGAATCACAATCCTTAGATCTTAGCCTCCTGAGTAGGTAGGACTACAGGTATGTGCCACTGGTGCCCTGCTTACTTAGCTTTTTTTTTTTTTTTTTTTTTTTGGTTGGTCATGGGGTTTGAACTCTGGGTTTGGGCGCTGTCCCTCAGTTCTTCAGCTCAAGGCAAGCACTCTACCACTTGAGCCACAGTGCCACTTCCGGTTTTCTAGTGGTTTATTGGAGATAAGAGTCTTATGATAATACAGATGTCACCCCCTTTTGTAGCTTTGACGATTTGAATCAGATTTCAAATAAAATCTGAACAGAAAAGCAAAACAAAAAAAAAGAGTCTTATGGACTTTCCTGCCGGGTCTGGCTTTGAACCTCGATCCTCAGATCTCAGCCTCCTGAGTAGCTAGGATTACAGGCATGAGCCACCGGCACCCGGCTACTTAGCTATACTTAGTTATTCTTAGACCAAATAAATCAGATAGAAAATAATTAAGATATATAATTAATTATATTTGCATTCAGATAGTTGACATTTACTTGAAAGCAAAGATCTGACTTCATGAGAAAAAAAAAGAGTAGACATAAGAAAAAATTAAGTACAGCTGGGAATGTGGCTTAGTGATAGTGCTTGCCTAACATGCATGAAGCCCTGGGTTTGATTCCTCAGTATCCCATAAACAGAAAAGGATGGAAGTGGCACTGTTGCTCAAGTGGTAGAGTATTAGCCTTAAGCAAAAGAAGCTCAGGGACAGTGCATAAGCCCTGAAAGGTTAAAGTACTTGAGGCAGTGACTATTTGTTGCTTGTTTCAGAGCAGAGCAACACATGGTGCTAAACCACCTGGTTGTGTGCCTTTATAAGACCTGCAAATCCTTAGCTCGGGGCTCTCCTCCTGGGCTCCACTGTGTCAGAGTGTAGGACGAGGCCCAAGCTGCAGCCCTTTTAAATAAAACAGCTGTAGAGTCTGACTCTCGGTGGTCTTCTTGGTGGCGGTCCTGCAACCTTGGCATAACATATTAGTGGGGGCTCATCCGGGATCCCCCCAAAGACCCCCGAGACCTCAGACTCCAAATGTAAAACAGTGCTGTCTTTGTTAATTTGTCTTGTCCTGTTGTCTGTTTTACTTTCATTTTCCCTTGTGAGGACAGCCGCTCTGATTCGTAAAGGATTGTTGAAGCGGACGCGCTTACACAACAACCCTGGAGGAACTGGGAGACATCTCATATCTTCTTGTGGGGTGGGGGTAACCCTGTCGTGTGAAGCGGGGGTCCTTGGAACCCTGCCGTGTGGGGTAGGGGTCCTGGGAACCCCGTCGTGTGAATTGTGGGGCGGGGGTCGGTTCAGTGTTGAGCCAGAACTGACCACTGTGGGTCTGCTCCTTCTGCTGTGGGGCATGGGTGTCCCATTACAGGAGTCAGCGGACCAATTCGGGAGATCTCCACTTTGTAAGCTTTTCTTCGTAACTGTCAGGCATGCGTGTGTTTTATTTGTACTGTTTGTTTTTTGGACTGTACGGCTGATGGGACTGGAAACCATGGACACCACTCCATCTAGCCCCCTAGACTTACAAAAAGAAACTAAGAAAGAGGAAAAGAAATTGTACCCCCTGTTTTTCAGGGAGATAACTTGGAAGAAGAAATGTTTTCTCCCCCATACTCCCCTTCCCAGGTTCCTTCTGCAGAGCCTGAGAATGATCAAGAGGAGGAGGGAGCTATAGAACCAGAAGCCGAACCCTCGACACCTGCCCTTAAAGTGTCTGAGGGGCCAGTTACTCGACGATGCCGTGGGATCAGCCCCACTTCTAGTGCAGCTGTTTTTCCCTTACGCGCCGTAGGTCCTGTGAATGCAGATGGTCAACAGCAACTCCAATATTGGCCATTTTCTACCAGTGATCTATACAATTGGCACACCCCAAATGCCCCCTTTTCTGAGAAACCCCAGGATTTAATTCGTTTGCTTGAAACTATTCTCTTATCAGCCCACTTGGGATGATTGCAGTCAGCTTTTACAGGTCCTTTTTACCACCGAAGAGAGAGACTGTATCTGAGAGGTGGCCTGGAAACATATCCCTGGCCCCACAGGAGCGCCCATCACAGATCCTGCCCTGATCGCTGCCTATTTTCCTGAGATCCGACCAACATGGGACTACAATACAGTTGAAGGTAGGGAGCGACTCCTCGTCTACTGCCAGGCTCTGTTGGCAGGTCTCAAGACAGCGGCTCGCCGACCTACTAATATGGCCAAAGTTTATGATGTTAGACAGGGAGGAAGTGAAAGTCCGGCAGCATATCTTGAGCGGCTCATGGACGCTTTTAGTCAATATACCCCATATGATCTTGAGACCCAGGAGTCGGCTCAGATGATTATGTTTGCCTATATAAATCAAGCTGCACCAGACATAAAGTGAAAATTGCAGGCTCTAGACAGACTTGGTGAGAAGTCTATTATCTAGTAGTCATAGCAGAAAAGGTTTACAATAAGAGAAAGACAGAGAAGCAATGACAGGAAAGGAAGGACAGAGAACGTGAAATTGAGCATGAAAAGAGACCGGGCCAAGGAAAAGAGGCCAGACTTGTTGGACTTGCCACTATTGCATGCCGAGCATACCTGGTTCACAGACAGCAGCAGTTTCATTAGAGATGGAAAAAGGCACGCGGGCGCAGCAGTCACCGCGGACACTGAGATAGTGTGGGCAGAAGCACTCCCCCAGAGAATGTCTGCACAAAGAGCAGAACTAGTGGCACTAACAAAAGCCCTACAAATGGGAAAAGGGAAGAGACTAAACATGAACACGGACAGTCAGTATGCTTTTGCCACTGTGCATGTCCATGGAGCCATTTACCAAGAGAGAGGGCTGCTGACAGCTGAGGGAAAGACTATTAAAAAACAAACAAGAAATTTTAAGCCTCATCCGGGCCATATGGGAACCAGCAAACATTGTCATTATGCACTGCCCTGGCCATCAAAAGGGAACTGATTCTATAACCAAAGGAAATAACTTGGCCGATCAGGCAGCTAAGGAGGCGGCCCTCCAGCCCAGAGCGGAAGTACTGACTCTAGTAGACCCAGGGCCATGAGCTTTGCCTCCTGAGCCTCAGTACTCCCAAGAAGACTTGAAGTGGATAAAGAAAATTCCCATGGCCTATAAACCCCTGGGCAGAGAAGGAAACAAAGACTGGTGGAAAACTGGTGAGGGGAAACTTATCTTGCCACAAAGATTGGGCAAGGGGATTCTTTTTTTGTTTGTTTGTTTTTGGGTCTGGTCGTGGGGCCTGAACTCTGGGCCTGGGCGCTGTCCCTCAGCTCTTCAGCTCAAGGCTAGCGCTCTACCTCTTCCGCCACTTCTGGCTTTTTTTCTTTTTGATTATGTGGTGCTGGGGAATCTAACCTAGGGCCTCAGGCATGCAAGGCAAGTGCTCTACCACTGAGCCACCTTCCCAGCCTACGGGCAAGGGGATTCTTAAGAGAATCCATTGGGTCTCTCACATGGGAACCTGAAGAATGCAGGACTTGCTCCAACACTCAGAAGTAAAAATTAGGCAAGGAAATCAACTCATTGAGGACATTGTTAAAAATTGTAAAGCCTGTCAGCTCAACAATGCCCCCAATCAACCGGTTACAAAAGGAACTCGCCTCCATGGAGATAGGCCAGGTGTGTATTGGGAAGTAGACTTCACAGAAATTAAAACTGGAAAATTTGGATACAAGTATTTGCTAGTTTTTGTAGACACCTTTTCAGTATGGATTGAAGCCTACCCAACAAAGCATGAGACTGCGAACGTCATGGCTAAGAAGATCCTGGAAGAAATACTATCCAGGTTTGGCTTCCCATCCACCATCAGGTCAGACAATGGACCGGCCTTCATCTCAAAAGTAAGTCAGGGAATAGCTGCGGCACTGGGGATGGATTGGCACTGTGCTTATAGACCTCAGAGTTCAGGGCAGGTAGAATGAATCGGACTCTAAAAGAGACCTTAACTGAATTGGCCTTGGAGACTGGAGCAGACTAGGTATCACTCCTTCCTTTTGCCCTGTTTAGAGTAAGAAATTCACCGTATCAGCTTGGCTTTACTCCTTTTGAAATAATGTATGGACACCCTCCACCATTTTCCCTAGCCTTCAGACTGAATTGCTTGCTGATTTGGATGATACTGAATTTCTGTGTAAGCTTGACTATTTACACCTGGTACATAGAGTATGTGGCCCCAGCTTAGAGCATTATATGATTCTGCTTCTATTCCTACCCCCCATTTGTTTAAGCCAGGGGACTGGGTGTTTGTTCAAAGGCACAACTTGAGATCTCTGGAACCACAGTGGAAGGGACCTTACATGGTGCTACTGGCTACACCAACTGCCCTTAAGGTGGACGGCATTGCTGCTTGGATCCACTGCTCCATGCCAGACCAGCTGACCCTTTTGCCCTGGACGACCGTGGGGAAACATGGGAAGTCTCCAAGCATCCTACCCAAACACTCCGCATACGCCTCAAGACAAGAAAAATGGACTAATTGTTATTGGTATACTCATTCAAGATCAAGAGCTGTTGGAGTTTAGTTTTGGGCCAGAGCCACAAGATTGTGGCTCAGGACCATAAGTCAAGGGGGGAATGAAAGGTTAAAGTACTTGAGGCAGTGATCATTTGTTGCTTGCTTCAGAGCAGAGCAACACATGGTGCTAAACCACCTGGTTGTGTGCCTTTATAAGACCTGCAAATCCTTAGCTCGGGGCTCTCCTCCTGGGCTCCACTGTGTCCGAGTGTAGGATGAGGCCCAAGCTGCAGCCCTTTTAAATAAAACAGCTGTAGAGTCTGACTCTCGGTGGTTTTCTTGGTGGGGGTCCTGCGACCTTGGCATAACAGCCCCAGACCAAAAAAAACAAAAAAGCAGAAACATTTTACATACATATGTATACAAAAACACTACACATATAAATCCTCAGGACTACGGTCCAATTTATTTTCTTCTCTCCTCCCCAACCCAAGTACTAGGGACTGAACTGAGGGCCTAGCAAGCTTTACTTTCAGCCCTTTGGTCTACCATGATTTGAGATAGGCTTGGCCTTGTACTTGTAAAATTCTCCACCTGTGGCAAAGTATCAAATTTCAAAGTACTCCAAAAACATTAATTTTTTAGAGTTTTCATTAGAGATAACTCAAACCTCACTTGTTGGAAAGTCAACTACTCTGTGTCTAAGCAATGTTGTTACTCCTAGCTTTCCTATCTTGAGAAGACCCACTCAGGACTGAAATGAGTTCGAAAAAATTGCTGCCACACTGAACTGTCAGAGAACATCTTCCATCCTAAGTTTTTGCCATCCAACACTAGTGTGTGTGTGTGTGTGTGTGTGTGTGTGTGTGTGTGTGTGTGTGTGCAGATACTGAGGCTTGTACTCAGGACCTTTGTATCTGGCTTGGCATTTTTGTTCAAAGCTACCAACTGAGCCACATCTCTATTTCCTGAATTTTTTTTAATGGCTAGAAAATGGTCCAATTTTCCATCTAATTCTTATCAATGTGATCGTCTCACATTTGTCAAATATATTTAAGCTAGATGTGGTTTGCACACCTATAATCCCAACAGTTGGGAGGATGAGGCAGGAGGATGATGAATTTGAGGCTAGTCTGAGTTAAAGTGAAAACACATAGCTAAACCAAACAAATGGCACAGGTGCTAATGGCTCATGCCTACAAGGCTAGCTACTAAGGAGGCTGACACCTGAGGATCGAGGTTCAAAGCCAGCTGGGATAGAAAACTCTGTGAGAGTAATCTCCAATAAACCACACACAAAAAAGAGGTGGAGCTGAGGCTCAAGTGGTGGAGTGCCAGCTTAAACAAAAAAACCTAAGAGACAGCACCCAAGCCCTAAGTTCAAGCCCCAGTACCAGCACAAAATTAAAAAAATGCTCTGAATAAGATGTGCATAGTATAGAAATTAGGAGCCAGGAATTGGTACTTCACTCAATAATCCAAGCTACTCAGGAGGCTGAGATCTGAGGATGAGGTTTGAAGCCAGTGAAGCAGACATATCCATGACTCATATCTCTCTGATTAGGCAGCAAAAAGCCAGAAATAGAGCTGTGGCTCAGGTGGTAAAGTGGTAGCCCAAGCGAAGAAACTAACAGACAGCATCCAGGCCAGAGCCTGAGTTCAAGCCCCAGTACTAAGAGGGAGGGGAGGGAGAGAGGAGAGAAAGATAAAGATTTCTGAACAAATAAAAAAGCATATGATGACAGCACACTAACCTGAGTCACTTGGTAATACCTCTACACTCCAAGCTTCACTTGTTGTTTCTGATATAGTAGAACCTGTGCAGGGGTCAAGAAGCACTGACCCTGAACCTGGGAGGCACAGTAAACTGCCCAACATGTTCTCTGCTGCTGCACCTGTAAAGAAGTAGTGAGCAAAGTGTTAACAAGTATCTGATGGATGGAGCAGTGATGGTGGAGGAAGGCTAAACACTAAGTAAGCTGACAAAATCTTTTCTGTACCACAAGAAAGACACCAAAGTGAGAATTGTAATTACAACCTAGCACACACAAATGTGCAATGGCACATTTCCTTTTTATCAAGTTCTTCTGCTCACTTTTGACTGTCCATTAAAAAACATACACACACAAGCATGCATACACATGCACACACACACATTTTTGGATTGAGTTATTTCAACTGGCCTCCATTTTGGTTTTTTCAATATATTTTACATGTTCTCCTGGAATCATTCTAAAACTGTAGTCCTACAGGATTACTAACATTAGAGAAACTTAACCATAGAAAGTTATACTGGCCAATTATGTTTTCTTCTGCACATTAGCCACATATCCAAAGCAATAAGACATACTTGCAAGAGAATATACTCTCCTTCACAGTACTCACTCTACTGCAAATACAGCTAATTGCTCAAATACAGCTTACTGCCAAAACCAATACTTTGGCATCTGGCATAAAATAATACAAAACCAATTAAGAGATCTATTTAACATTACTCAAAAATACAAACATAAAGAGCTAAGCATTATTGTATGACTGAATTAAGAACACTGAAGCATCCATCAAGATGCATTGTACTCATAATCAGACTTGTGGAATTCAAAAACATTTTTTTTTTTTTTGGTCCGGTCGTGGGGCCTGAACTCTGGGCCTGGGCACTCTTCCTCAGCTCTTCAGCTCAAGGCTAGCACTCTACCACTTGAGCCGCAGCGCCACTTCCGGCTTTTTTCTTTTTGCTTATGTGGTGCTGAGGAATCGAACCCAGGGCCTCATGCATGCAAGGCAAGCACTCTACCACTGAGCCACCTTCCCAGCCCTCAAAATTTTTTGTACAATTACTTAAAAAAACACACACACACACACAAGCCGGGCACTGGTGGCTCATGCCTGTATTCCTAGCTACTCAGGAGGCTAACATCTGAGGATCGTGCTTCAAAGAGTCCATGAGACTCTTTTTGTTGTTGTTGTTGGTTGTGGAGCTTGAACTATGGGCCTGAGTGCTGTCCTTCAGCTCTTCCGCTCAAGGCTAGTGCTCTACCCCTTGAGCCACAGCACTACTTTCTCTATGAGACTCATATCTCCAATTAACCACCAGAAAAACTGGAAGTGGTACTGTGGCTCAAGTGGTAGAGCACTAGCTTTGAAGAGTTGAGGGACAGCACCCAGGCCCAGAGTTCAAGCCCCATGACCAACAAAAAAAGTAAAAGAAATCCTCCCTTTTACAGCTAATATATGCTAATAAAAAAAAGACAAAACACTTTCCCCCTTTCTTTTCAAAGGATACCTCTTTGGAACAGAATAAATGCAGAAGTAAGTTCATTTTAGTAGGTTTCATTTTATTAGAGCTTCAACTCGGGGCCTGGATGTTGTCCTTCAGCTTTTTCACTCAAAGATTGACACTTACTTGAGCCTTGCCTCAAGCCCTTTTTTTTTGGTTATTTTTTTTAGTAGGTTCTTGCACTTATGCCTGGGCTGGCCTGGACCACAATCCACCTATTTTTGCTTCCTGTATAATTGGGGTGACTGGTATGAACTACCTAGGCTTTTTTTGGTCAGTCATGGGACTTGAACTCTGGGCCTGGGCACTGTCCTTCAGCTCAAATTGAGTGCTCAACCACTTGAGCCACAGTGCCACTTCCGGTTTTCTGGTGGTTTATTGGAGATTAAGAGTCTCATGGACTTTCCTGCTTGGGCTGGCTTTGAACTGCAATCCTCAGATCTCAGCTTCCTGAGTAACTAAGATTACAGGCGTGAGCCACTGGTGCCCAGCTTTTTTTTTTATTTCTTGATGCCAATACTGGGACTTAAACTTAGGGCTTACATGCTGTCTCTTAGTATTTTCACTCAAAACTGGCATTCGACCAGCTGAGCCACAACTCTACTTCCAGCTTTTTGGTAGTTCATTAAAGAGAAGAATACACAGATTTTCGGCCCAGGCTGGCTTTGAACAATTCTCAGAGTTCAGCCTCCTGAGAAGCTAGGATTACAGGAGTGAGCCACCAGCATCTAGCTCATTTTATTGCTATCTAGTGGTGGTGCTAGGGATGGAACCCAGAGCCCCCCAAATGCTAGGCAAATGCTCTACCACTGCGCTACATCTTCAGCCTTCATTTTTAAGAACTTAATTATCATATTATTCCCAAAGATTTTATGGCTATTATCTGCACAAACTTTCATCTTAAAGTAAGGTATTTACTGTCAAGTGGAGAATATTTTTATCATAGACCGAGAGTACATACTATGCCATGAAAACAAGACTTGACAAGAGGTAATTAGAAAGTCTGAGTTTTCTTTTTTTTGCAGTATTAGAATTGGGGAAACTACACTTAGAAAGAGTATCCAGTGTCCTGTACCATATAGTTTTCAAAGTTTCCCAGTCAGGTGGTCACCCATACCACCCTCCATCTATCCGAAGAATAACACTCTCTCTCATGAAGGACAGGAAGACATAAAACTACATCTATCTATCTTCCAGACACACTGAATGGACATCAGTTACCTGCAATTTCTTGTAAGCGATCTTCCTCAATGTTAGGGTCAAAGTCACTTCCCAGAACATCTGTACTCCAGGTCTCACTCACTGTTTCTGATATGTCTCTATCATCTGTTAGACCCATCATGTCACGAATCTCAAACTTCCTTAGCTTATCATCAAGATTATCTTGCGTGGTAGCTATCAAAAACAAAATTAAACACTTAAAAATTTTTATCATCACTAAGCTTGTAGTTTCATTCTAGATCTAAAGACCAGCCTGCTCCCCAATGGCCAACTCACCTCTAGCTAAAATTAGAGATCCCTACTTTATCTACTATTGTTTGTATGTGTGAGTTAGCCCAGTGCAAATTAGAATGAATTAACTCACCCAGACTTCAGAGCAAGTGTTTTCGGTAGTTTACTGTGCCACATTATTATGGTGGTAATCAGCTAATAAACACATACTATAAATGTTTTAGACTTGACATGGACAACTCTGGTCTGCATTCTAAAGTTTTCATTCCATTCTAGATCAAGTTATGTGAATTTACTTTTTGTTGTTAATGTTTTTGTTTTTCGTTTGGTGTTGGGGACTAAAAGTAGAGTTTCATACCAACTCCCTATGCATGTTATATATTTTGGGTTTTTTCGGTCAGTCATGGGGCTTGAACTCTGGGCCTGGGCGCTGTCCCTCAGCTCTTCAGCTCAAGGCGAGCACTCTACCACTTGAGCTACAGCACCACTTCCAGTTTTCTGGTGGTTTATTGGAGATAAGAGTTTCACGGACTTTCTTGCCCGGACTGGCTTTGAACTGTGATCCTCAGATCTGCCACTGGTGCCCGGCTTTGTATTTTGGTATTTTTGAGACAGGGTCTCATTATGTAATCCAGGCTGGCATCAAACTCACAACACAGTACTTCAGCTTCCATCCAAAGTGCTGAGATAACAAGCTATGTGCCCAGGCCTCAATTCACTTTCTAGCATTTCACAAAATAAAGACTGCCAACCATCTACATTCGAATCACCCAAAAGTCTCTTCAAAGAAGTGCTATTTATTTAACTTGTCATAAACATCTGTCATAAATACATTATTTCAGGTTTCTATGTTATTTGCAGCAAATAATTATAACTGTTACTGATTATGAAACATAGCAGTATTTTTATTCAAGCCATACATATTCTAATAGGAGTATTTGGGGGCGGGGGCAGGTAGTCCTGGGGCTTGAACTCAGGGCCTAGGCACTATCCCTGAGCTTCTTTTGCTTAAGGCTTAGGCACTATCCCTGAGCTTCTTTTGCTCAAGGCTAGCAATCTACCACTTGAGCCACAGCACCACTTCTGGCTTTTTCTGTTTATGTGGTACTGAGGAATGGAACCCAGGGCTTCATGCACACTAGGCAAGCACTCTACCACTAAGCCACATTCCCAGCCCATAGAAGTATTCTTATCTTTCTAAAAATGGACTGAGCAGGCTATCTAGAAATAGGACTTTTTCAAGTAATTCTCAGGCACCCTAAGTCTAACAATCATTCCTTCACACTCTATTTGCAGTAATCTGTCCTAAACTTGATTCTCTGAAATAAATCTGGAAATGTTTCCAATTTATCATCTTAAAGCACAAGAGGCTATCATCCTCAACCACTCATCTAACATTATCTTGGCTTGCTATAAAGCTGACTTCCTTCAGTCTGTAACAGGTATCACCCACTTTACAATCATCACCCACCTGTCTCCTCTGTACTACCTGATTAAGTACTATGGTCTCCACTTCTATTTCTCATATACTTGCCTTGCACTTACAATGATCTATCTCCAACTTCTGCCTATACAATGGCTAGTGCTTTCTTCCAGTAAGCTTTTGTCTGGCACTTACAACTATCAAAAGAAACTTGGTTTTCTGATGCTGTGTTGTTTCAGTAGTATCGTCTGAATTCAGGGTCTGTACATTTTCCAGACAGACATTCTACAACTTGATCCATGCCTACAGCTATTTTTTGCTTTCGTTATTTTTAAAATACGATCCAATGTTTATGTCCAGGCTCAGCTGGATCACAATCCTCCTACTTACTCTCCCAACATAGTTGGAATGACAAGTACATGTCACCTGGATCCAACTTTTTATTGGTTGATAGGAGGGGAGAGAGGTGTCTTGTGAATTTTGCCCAGGCTAGCCTTAAACTATGATCCTCCTGATCTCTACCTTCTGAATAGCTAGGATAATAGTCATGAACAACTGCAGCTGGCCCAATATTCTTTTTATTGTCAGTCTTGGGCTTGAACTTGGGGCCTGGGAGCTGTCCCCGAGCTCTTTTTGCTCAAGGCTAGTGCTCTATCACTTTGAGCCACAGTGCCACTTCAGAGCCAAGATACTTTTAAATATTTGTATGCTCTTCCTTTCCTTCCCAAATTCTGTTTCTTGAAATCTGAGTAATCACTTTATCCTTTAAAAGTTACTAATTAAGAGGCCTAATGCTACAAAATTTAAAGGAACTTACACTATATGTAATTTAATACTTCACTCATCAATTAAACACTTTTGGGGGGTGATAGTAAGGTCTGAAGTTGGCCTGTATTGCTAGGCAAGCACTCTACCACTTGAGACATGCCTCAGCCCTCAAACACATTTATAAGGACTACTATAACACTAGAAGTAAATATATTCTATAACCAAATTAAGTTTATTTTTTTTACTGCAAATAGCCAACTTACATGTAAACACATTGCTTATCTTACAATAAGGCAAGTTTGGTATGTGTACAACTGTGCTCAACTTTACCTTGCTCATGTTCTAACAGTTGTAGAGCTTCAACTCCATTACTCCCAGAAGGTCCTGCTCCAAGTTCTGACACAGACTCTCCTTCCAGGTCTAGAGAAGACACCGAATTGGAGCGATTTGAAGGACCTAGAGAAATGTTTATTCCATGAGCAATCTTTCAAAAAAATCACCTATAAGCCACAATGACATTTTTCCTATCTTGGAGAGATACTATAAACTGATTAAAAAGTCTTTGGGACATGTTTTGGGAGTAGGCAAAGGAGAGCAAAGGAATCGAGGGTGAACAAATGTAGTGGTTATATGCAATGCACATTACATAAAAAATGAACTAGGTAACTTAAGGGTAGGGACAAGAGGGAGAAAATGGGAGAGAATGAAGGAAGCGGGTGACACTGACCAAGAAGCATTGTACTCATAACCTGACTTATGGAATTGTAACACCTTTGTATAACTACATATAATAATGAAATAAAGTTCTTTTGGATTTTTTTTTTTCTATTTTGAACTCTTACCCTTAAGCTTATGAGAAAAGCACTCTTACTGTGAAGCCACGCCTCTAGCCCTAACTTGTTTGCTCATTATTTCTGAGATAAGGTCGCCTTTCCTGCTCAGGGGTGCACCTTGGTATGATCCACCACCTCTGTTAAGGCTTTTTGGTAGCTAGGATAACAAGCAAGTGCCACTGTATCCAGTTCTTTGTTGAGAAGGGGTTTTCTTATGAACCTTTTTATGCCCAGACTGGCCTGACACTGTGACCCAATAATCTCCACCTTCCCAAAATTTAGGATTAAAGCTGTGAATCACCAGCATTCAGGGTTTGGGGGAGTTTTTTTGTTTTTTTTTTGAGATGGGATCTTGCTATGTAGCCTAACCAAGTCTTGAACCAAAGATTCTTCTGTTGTAGCCTCCTATGTACTGGGATTACAGGGGTGCACAACCACTTTTTCAATTTAAAAGTGCTTTCAATACTAAATTTATGCCTTAAAAATATACATGTCCTGACCAGGTGCTAGTGGCTCACACCTGTAATCCTAGCTACTCAGGACCCAGAGATTTGAGGACCGTGGTTTTGAATCCAGCCTGGGCAAGAAAGTCTGTGAGACTCTTATCTCCAATTAATCCTGAGAAGATTGGAAGTGGAGCTGTGGCTCAAAGTGGCAAAGCGCTAGCCTTGAGCAAAAGCGCTGAGGGACAGCGCCCAAGCCCCACAACCTACACACACACACACACACACACACACACACACACACACACACACACACACACACACACACACACACACACACACACACACACACACACACACACACACACACACACACACACACACACACACAGCAATTCTGAGACAGCAATTCTGCTTCTAGAAATGTATCCTAGATAACAAAAATTAATGTAAGACTATTGTAGAACTTATTAAGTATTATAAATATCTAACAAGTAGAAGCAATCTACCTATTTATCACAGAAGAATGTTAAAATGGCTGAACACTAGTGGCTTATGCCTGTAATCCTAGCCACACAGGAGGCTGAGATCTGAGGACAGTGGTTCAAAGCCATCCCAGGCAGGGAAGTCTGTGAGACTGATCTCTAATAAACTACCAAAAAAGTCAGAAGTGGAGTTGTGGCTCAAGAGGTAGAGCATTAGCCTTGAGCAAAAGCAGCTCAAGGACACAGCCCAGGCCTCAAGACCAACAAGCACAAAACAAAACAAAACAAAATGCTAAAATCAATTGATATGCCTATTCCAAGTTAAAGAAAATTGGGAAGGTGGTTTAGTGACAGAAGGCTTGCCTACCATGAATGAAGCCCTGGGTTCAATTCCTTAGTCCTATATAAACAGAAAAGGCTGGAAGCAGTGCTGTAGCTCAAGTGGTAGAGTGCTAGCTTTTAGCAAAAAAAACTCAGGGACAGTGTCCAGGCCTTGAGCTCAAGCGGCATGACTGACAAATAAAAACAAAACAAAACAAAAACGTTATTTTCTTGGTACTGGTGGCTCACATCCTAACTACTAGGAGGCAAGGCTGAGAATCATAGTTCAGAGCCAGCCTGTAAGACTCTTTATCTTCAATGAACCACCAAAAAGCTGGAAGCTGACCTCTGCCTCAGGTGGTAAGACAAAAGCTTTGAGAAAAAAGCTAGAGGACAGTGCTCAGGCCCCAGTAGTGGCATAGAAACACAAAACCATGTTACTTAAAAATGTTAAACTAGCCAGCCTGTAATCCTAGCTACTCAGGAGGCTGAGATCTGAGGATCATAGTTCAAAGCCAGCCCGGGCAGGAAAGTCCGTGAGACTTTTTTTTTTTTAATTTTTTAAAAATTTTTATTTATTTTTTATTGTGAAAATACTGTACAGAGGAGTTACAATTACATGGGCAAGATAATGAGTACATTTCTTATCAAGCATTGTAGCCTCCTCCTTTGTTTCCCCTTCCCATCCCTCCGTGAGACTCTTATCTCCAATTAACCACCAGTAAACCAGAAGTGGCACTGTGGCTCAAGTGGTAGAGCGCTTGCCTTGAGCTGAAGAGCGCAGGGACAGTGCCCAAGCCTAGAGTTCAAGCCCCACGACCGACCAAAAAAAAAAAAAAAAGTAAAACTACAAGGGGAAGGAAATGGTATGTATATATTATTAAAACAAAAAGTTTAAAACTAATTCTGCTATAAGTAAGCTACAACATTAACTACTTTTAACATAATGGTGAAATTACAAACAATCACTTCTTTTCTATATTATCAAGAATGAATTATATTACTTTAGAAAGATTAGAGAAAAAGAATAACATTTATATTTACTTTTGTTTTGTTTTTGTCGGTCATGGGGCCTGAACTCTGGGCCTGGGTGCTGTCCCTCAGCTCTTCAGCTCAAGGCTAGCACTCTACCACTTGAGCCACAGCGCCACTTCTGGCTTTTTACGTAATGCTGAGGAATCAAACCCAGGGCCTCATGCATGCAAGGCAAGCACTCTGCCACTGAGCCACCTTCCCAGCCCTATATTTATTTTTAAATGTCATCAAACTTGAACTTTATTTTCATTGAAAAAAATTATCTCAAAATGTGGAATAATACATTTTCACTTTACAATCCTGGCTTAAAATTTTCTTGTTAATTCTTATTTCCATTGTACAGTGCTTCATGATGGTGTGTTTGAGTATATGAATAAAGGAATACAGAATAGTCAAGGTATATACAATATTCTGACATACTAGTAAGTCCATTTTTTCCATTTGTACATGCATTACATCCTTCTAAAGGAGCTCTATAAGCTTTGGTATATATCAATACTGAGAAACAATGCTGCTATAAACAGAATGCTGGTATTCTATTTAAGTCTGAATGAAGACTTACATCTTCATTTCATATGACCAACAGCTTATTGTAATCTTAGTTCCATTCAGGAAACAATCTTTACAGCCAACTGTTCAAACTCATTACAGGGAACTTTCTTTATTCTGTTCAGTGAGAGGCACAGATGGCTTAATTATAATTTATAAGGCTCCTTTAAAGAACACAAAACAAAATATTACTTGAATCACATAACCCTTCACCTTCAGATATGCCTTCCAGATTATCACTGCAGAGGGAAAAGCGCAACGTTTTATCAGGTTTACCGTGGAGTTTGTTTTCATCAACAGGGACATCTCCTTGCCCTCCATCCGAAAGCTGCATATTTAGGACCTAAGAAATAAAATGTCAATTTTGGTTTATTACAAATGAAAGAGTAAAGTCTAAAAAAAGAAAACCCACAGCAAATGCACACAACTTCTTTTAGATCACTCTTAAACAACAACTCCATTCACGAGATCTTTGAAGCATTAAACAGAATTCATGGGACACAAATGGATCAACTGAGCCAACTGAAGCTATGTTGCCTTTCTGTTATCTACAGCATTAAAGACAACAGGCAGGGCTGGGAAGGTGGCTCAGTGGTAGAGCGCTTGTCTTGCATGCATGAGGCCCTGGCTTTGATTCCTCAGCACCACATAAGCAAAAAAAAAAAAAAGACAACAGGCAGACATAAGATTATAGGAATCGGTGTTTTTGTTTGTCTCTGTCATGTCATATGTGACCCCTGAAGACCCTGTTCTATTAGCTTTGTGGTCAGCAAATGATCTGGCAGATTTCTTTTTGTGGAGACAATCTTGCTATGTAGCCTACGCTGGCTGTAAACCTGCAATTGTTCTACCTTAGTACTGGGATTACAAACATGTTCTTCCATAACTGGCTCTTGATTGGCAGATTTAGCTAGAAAACAAAGCATCCTTAAACCTTGCCAAGTTGCTACAGAGTAGCTCTGTGTTAGGGTACTGCTTCAACATTTAGCCAAGCAGTCTGCAACTTCAGTCTTTACTTGCTGATGTTTGTAGGCTTTTAAATTTTTTTTTTCTTTTTTTCAGTCATGGGGCTTGAACTCGGGGCTTGAGAACTGTCCCTTACCTCTTCGGCTCAAGGCTAGCACTCTACCACTTGATCCACAGTGTCACTTCTGTTTTTTGGGTGGTTTATTGGAGATAAGAATCTCATGGAGTTTCCTGCCTGGGCTGGCTTTGAACCGAGATCCTCAGATTCAGCGTCCTGAGTAGCTAGGATTACAGATTTGAGCCACTGATGCCCAGCTGTAAACTTTTAAATTTTTTAGTGCTAGTACCAGAGGTTGCACTCAGTGTCTTGCTTGAAGTTTCACTCAACTTGCTCATGGCAATTGCTCTATCACTTGAGCCATGCCTCCAGCCTAGCCTTTTGCTGGTTGAGATGCAATCTAAACCATAATCTTTCAGGTCTTAGCCTCTTTTCTTTTTTTTTTTTGGGGGGGGGGGGGGAATCCAGTCGTGGGACCTGAACTCTGGGCCTGGGCGCTGTCCCTCAGCTCTTCAGCTCAAGGCTAGCGCTCTGCCACTTGAGCCACAGCACCACTTCCAGTTTTTTTCTTTTTGCTTATGTGGTGCTGAGGAATCGAACCCAGGCATCAAGCATGCAAGGCAAGTGCTCTACCACGGAGCCACTTTCCCAGCCCCAGGTCTTAGCCCCTTGTATAGCTTGTATTACAATTATAAGCCATGGGCAGCTGACTTTCTAGGCTTAAGGTTTTTCTGAATACAGGATGTCTTTTTTTTTTTGAGTCGGGGGGTGGTCCTGGGGCTTGAACTCAGGGCCTGGGCTCTGTCCTTGAACCTCTCTGTGCTCTCTGTGCTACCGCTCTACCACTTGAGCTACAGGACCACTTCCATTGTGGTTCAAAACCAGCTCCAGCAGGAAAGTCTATGAGACTCTTATTTCCAATTAACCACCAGAAAACCAGAAGTGGAACTGTGGCTCAAACTGGTAGAGCACTATCCTTGAGCAGAAAAGCTCAGGGACAGTACTCAGGCCCTGAGTTCAAGCCCCATGGCTGACCAAAAGAAAAAATAAATTAAAAAAAGCTAGAAATAGGAATGTGTCTCAAGTGATTGGTTGTAAAAAACGTGAGTGAGATTGTAAGATCTGGAGTTCAAGCTCCAGTACTGGCATCAACAAAAAGAAGAAAATTTTGCCTTAGTTTCCTGTCTTAGCCTCTCAAGTTCCAAGATTATAGGCATGTGCTACCTCATCTGGTTTAAACTTAACACAGAGTTGTAAGTTAAATGTAGTAATATATTCCTACCTCATTTTCTGACATCATCCCTGGAGTAAGCTGGGGACCTGTCCCTAAGGAAATGACCAACACCTCTTCTGGTTGTACTTCCTGGATAGTTTCTTGAGATGATCCTTCATGGTCCATATGTAGATCCACTAGCATATTACTGCGACTTCTGCTCCGAGTTGCTAACAAATTAAGAAAGAAATCAAAGAATTTAGACCAAAAAAAGTCAAAATGAAGAAAATGGCACACTGAATTTTAAAAAATATTTTCCTTTAGTGTTGAATATTTGCACAGGCACAAAAAGTTATGAAAATATGAGTAATAGAAATCAAAACAAATAAAAAACATCCTCCCAGTTACTACACAGACAGTAGTGAGACACCATGACCCACATCCACTAGACAGGGAGTACATACTACACAGGTCACATCTGCAGTACGGCCAAATCATCCCTATCAATGGAGACTTTGAGGTAACAAGAAAAGCATTACCTCGCAGCTAGTCTTTTTAAAATACTTTGTATTTCCTATAAAATCAGTTACTTGTCGCAGATCTTCTATACTAAACTGAACTTGTGTTAGAAACGACCATGAGGAAATCTGATAACCATATAAAATTATATTGTCTGTTTGTTTTAGCTTTCCTTTCTGTTATATTTTGAGAGAGGGTCTATGTGTTGGATTAGCCTCAAGTTCGAGATTCTTCTGCCTCAGCCTTCCAAATGTTGAGATTATAGGTATGCACCACATCAAGCCATTTTATTTTTGTTTCAAAATAGTAAAAAGTATGATTTACTGAGAATAGTAAAACTTATTAGAATAGGAAGACACTTTCAGAGGTGAAAGTGGGTTGTCCCAGAAAAGTCACGAATGACAATCACTGCTACCTACCCTGGACCATACTTCTACAGATGTTTAAAAGCTTGGAGCACCAAGTTGCTTCCCAGGACCAGCTCATGGGAAGTAACTGACATGAAAAGTATATAGTAATACTTTTTACTTAGACACTGTTGACAAAGCTAAGATCAATTTTTGTTAGGGAGGCAATTCTACCACTGAGCCATGCCTGATATATATTAACCTCACTCTAGAAATGAAGGAGTGTTTTCCCTATGTTTGAATATGAAGTCCTTTCAGTTCTATGGAAACATCTAAAATTAATAAAGGAGTCAACTATTTTTGTTGTTCTTTCTCTACCTAAAAGTAATTTTTTCTAAAATAACTTGTCCTGTATATCTTTTAAGAACTTTTAAACACTGAAAGATTTCAGTTGCTTATGATAATTTTTCTAAGAATTTTGATCTTCTGTGACAGTTTCAATATAACAGCTAGAAAATTCAATACAATAAAAAAGTAAATAGAAATCCTCTTTCCAAAAAGTATAGACATAAAGCATAAACACTTTGCTATGGGTGAAAGCTGATTTCCATGAAGACAGAAAGAGATGAAAATACAGTTACCTTCACTGTACAATGCTGTAGATGTGTTCATTAATCACTTTCAGTCCAAGCACTCAAGCACACACACCAGCTTCCAAAGTTTAAACAGGCTCATACACACTTTTATTTTTCTATCCCTCACTATCTTCTACTGAACTATGAACTTAAGTTCAACTTGATGAGCAGGTCTATGATTTAAGCAAACTATAATATATAAAAATGCAAATAACTGAATTTCATATAGCAATTTACATAAAGCAAAAAGCAACATGCACATGGAATACAGCTATATAAAGCATTTCTTAAAGCTATGTAAGAAAAGAAAAACAGCCTGTTACCCACCAAATGGGGTGACTAATGTAATGTGCGAAGTAAGGTTGGTAGCTGAGGAATCCCAGGCAGTGATGGCTGCTAACTGTTGTCCTGGGTTGTGAAAGCAGTAAACAGAAAGAAAATCAACCCTTTGAACAGTGGATACAATTTTAAATAAATATAAAATACAAAATTACAGTGAGAAAATATTTTTGAGGTTTACCGTCCACTAGGATCCACACCTAATGCCACTTTGGGAAGCAATTGTAAACAATGGGAAAATCTCATTATCCTTAGGGTAAACATTACAAACTGCGCCTAATATTAAGAAGTACCACATGTAAAAAAGATCACTTTTTTTCCTATTTTTAGTTATGAATTTGGCTTTTGGAATAGTGAAAAAGTGAGATTTGTCGAATATTTTGCCATATTCCTGCTAATAATATAATTCTATATTATACTAAGTGTACAGCAGATTAATTTTCAAATTTGTATTCTTTATTTTTTTTTTTTTGTCGGTCGTGGGGCTTGAACTCTGGCCTGGGCGCTGTCCCTCAGCTCTTCAGCTCAAGGCGAGCACTCTACCACTTGAGCTACAGCGCCACTTCTGGTTTTCTGGTGGTTTATTGGAGAAAGGAGTCTCACGGTCTTTCCTACCCAGGCTGGCTTTGAACCGCGATCCTCAGATCTCAGCCTCCTGAGTAGCTAGGATTACAGGCGTGAGCCACCAGTGCCCGGCTCAAATTTGTATTCTTAACAAATCAGCTCATGGAAGTTTCAAGATGAAATAATTCCATTCCTCAAGATAAAGAAAATGTAATGATGTTCACCAAGTGTAGCAAGTAACTCATTATTATGTTACTAAAATACTCCTGTCTTTCTGGTCTAAACACTTTTTCCATGCTTGCTAACGGTAACTACAAGTCAGCCTTCATAGAGTACAGGCTCTGGGGCTGGAGGTACATCTCAGCAGTAGAAAGCCTGTCTGGCAAGCATAAAGCCATGAGATCAAACTCCAATGAGAAGAGAGAAGAAAGAAATAGATCTAACTGTGCCTCAAATGAAAGACAGGATGTCTCTGTGGATTAAATAACATTTAGAAGAGGTTTACCCAGTGCCTGGCACATGCTACATGCTTAATTTTTCCAGATAGATAGATAGATAGATAACAAATTTGTTATCTATCTGTCCAGTAGACAGATAGATAACAAATACTAAGTAAATAAAGATTAAGCACATGTAATTGTCTTTTTTAAGTTTTTTTTGTTTTGTTTTGTTTTTAGCAGTACAGGAGATTAAATTCAGGCCTTGTGCTTGATAGTCAGAAACTCTACCACTTCAACCTGCCTCCCAGGCCATTTTGCTTTATTTTTTTTTCAAACATGGTCTTGTGATTTTGTCTGAAATGACCTGAGTGTCTATCTTATTTATACTTCCTGCACAACTTAGGATGATAGACACAACACTATGTCCAGATATTTATTGATTGAGATAGAGGTCTTTCAAACTTTTTGCCCAAGTTGGCCTCATACAGTGATCCTCTTGATCTGTTTCCTGTGTAACTAAAATTAGAAATGTGAGCTAATGCACCCAGGTTAGATTCTTGTAAAAATAATAAAATAAAATGAACATTCTGTTTTATTTTATAATAAATAGGCTAGCTGGACACAGTAGTTCAAGTATTTAATACTAGCTACTTGGGAGGTAGAGATCAGGGTATTATACTTTGAGGTCAACCCTGGGTATGTGAACCTCCATCTCATAGCTATATATGGTGATATGTGCCACCCAGCTATGGAGGAAGCATATATCTGAGCCTAGTATCACACACCTGTCAGCCCCCAAATTTGGAGAAGTTCATGTAGGATTGCAGCCCAGGCTAGCACAGGCATAAAGCAAGACCCTACCTCAAAAATAATAACCAAAGCCGAGCACCGGTGGCTCACGCCTGTAATCCTAGCTACTCAGGAGGCTGACTTCTAAGGATCATGGTTCAAAGCCAGCCCAGGCAGGAAAGTATATGAGACTTTTATCTCCAACTAACCATCAGAAAACCGGAAGTGGCGTTGTGGCTCAAGTGGTAGAGTACTCACCTGGAACTGAAGAGCTCAGGGACAGGGCCCAGGCCCAGAGTTCAAGCCCCATGACCAACAACAACAACAACAAATAATAATAATAATAACTAAGACAGGTGCCGATGGCTCATGCCTATAACCCTAGCTACTCAGAGGGCTGAGATCATGGTGTAAAGCCAGTCTGGGCAGGAAAGTCTGTGAGACTCTCATCACCAATTAACCACCAAAAAAGCTAGAAGTAGAGCTCTGGCACAGGTGATAGAGAGTTAACCTTAAGCAACACATATCAAGGACAGCACCCACAAAAAGTTCAAGTTCCACAAACAGTGTGTGTGCATGCATGTACACACACATGCGCGCGTGCACATACACACACACACACAGAGTGGTTCAATACCTGCCTAGCAAGCATAGGCCCTGTCTTCAATCCCCAGTACTACTAAAAAGAAAATATATATATAAAATTCAGATAGACAGACAGACAGACAGACACTTCAGGCCACATCTGATGATCTCATGCCTGTAATCCCTGCCAGGCAGTGATAGAGTACTTGCCTAGCAAGTACAAGGCCCTCAGTTCAGGAGGCTGCAATTCAGAGGATCAGAGTTCAAAGCAAGACAAAACAGAAAATTTACCATCAAAAAGCTGAAAGTGGGGGCTGGGAAGGTGGCTCAGTGGTTGAGCGCTTGCCTTGCATGCATGAGGCCCTGGGTTCAATTCCTCAGCACCACATAAGCAAAAAAGAAAAAAGCCGGAAGTGGCGCTGTGGCTCAAGTGGTAGAGCGCTAGCCTTGAGCTGAAGATGAGCTGAAGAGCTGAGGGACAGCGCCCAGGCCCCACGACTGGACCCAAAAAAAAAAAAAAAAGCTGAAAGTGAAGCTATGACAGTAGAGTACCAACCTTAAGAGAAAAAGCTAAGGAACTGCATCCAGGCAGGCTTTGAGTTCAAATGCCATTAGTAGTGCGTACACACACACACACACACACACACACACACACACACACACACACACACACACACACACACACACACACACACACACACACACACACACACACACACACACACACACACACACACACACACACACACACACACACACACACACACACACACACACACAGAGAGAAAGAAAATCTCCCTTCAGAAAACCAATATTCTAAGCCAGGCAGGAAGATTAATTGATTTAATCCCAACACGAGGGAGGCAGAGGCAGGAAGATCTCAAGTTTGAGGCCAACCTGGGTTACATAGAAAGTTCCAGGAAAGTCTGGGTTACACAGGATCCTGTTTCAAACCCCAAAACAAAAACAAGACAATCGCCAGTAGCTCATGCCTATAATCCTAGCTGCTCCGGAGGCTGAGATCTGAGGGTCCCAGTTCAAAGCCAGCCCTGGCAGGAAAGTCCATGATACTCTTATCTCCAATTAACTACCAGAAAAATGGAAGTGACACCATGGTTCATGGTAGAGTGCTTGCCTTGTGCAGAAAAGCTCAGAGTCAGTGCCCAGGCCCCACAACTGACAAAAAAAGAAAAGAAAAAAAGAAAAAGAATGCAGAGCAAAAACAAGGGCTAATGAAGAAACATTAAATTTAAGGAAAAGCTCCAACATGAGAAGCCCTCATTACCTATAGGCAATCTGTTCTTTTTGTTTGCTGGAGTGGTTGCTGGAGACATCTGAGGAGTACTGTAGGGAGTCATTTCTAAACTGCTGCTCTTTCCCGGCTTTGCCTAAGTTTGCCAACAAATTGTCAAGAGCCATTCTATCTATCTTCTCTCAGTTGATCTCCAGACATCACACTCTTCATAAAATTCACCTAATAAAATTAAAGAACCTTATCTAGTAAAATCAAATTTTCAAACACATATATATTTCTCATATAATATGCATAGCTGAAAGAATTTTGAGAAAAATCCCATTAAAAAATAAAGCCATTACCAGAGTAATTAGCTGACTGTAGGTTATATAAACCACGGTTCTGCTCAATCCTTCCAGAAGATTAACAGATGACATGGGAGGAGTCTCGACTGCGCGGCCCCCAATCACAACATCAAGAAAAGCAGCCACACAACTCTGTTAAAACAGGACAAGACCAAAGTAAAATTCTTCCCCTTTAAAATACTGGAACAAAATATGATTAAACAAGCATGCAAAAAAATTGATTTCTTGAGAATTATGTTAAATCTAACATTTAAAAAGTGAGGCTCTGGCTGGGAATGTGGCTTAGTGGTAGAATGCTTGCCTTGCATGCATGAAGCCTTGGATTCAATTGCTTAGTACCACATAAGCAGAAAAAGCCAGAAGTGGTGCTGTGGCTCAAGTGGTAAGTGCTAGCCTTGAGCAAAAGAAGCTCAGGAACAGTGCCCAGGCCCTAAGTTCAAGCCCCAGGACTGGCAAAAAAATTAATTAAAAATAAAAAATATAAAATGAGGCTCTTAAGATCAAAGAGACAAATGGCACATGTCCTACTTAATTTGTGAAAGTCAGATCTAAAACACAATGGGATATTGACAAATTACACAAGATTCTAGATACTCACATAGAGTGAGCCAAAAGAAGATAGTATTAGGAGAGAATCACAAAGGTGCAATACCCAAATACCTCTCCATAGGTATATAAAATAATATACAGCCGGGCGCTGGTGGCTCACGCCTATAATCCTAGCTACTCAGGAGGCTGAGATCTTAGAATCGCGGTTCAAAGCCAGCCCGGGCAGGAGAGACTGTGAGACTCCTATCTCCAATAAACCACCAGAAAACCGGAAGTGGCGCTGTAGCTCAAGTGGTAGAGCGCTCGCTTTGAGCTGAAGAGCTGAGAGACAGCGCCCAGGCCCAGAGTTCAAGCCCCACAACCGACAAAAAAAAAAAAAAAATAATATACATACTGAAATGAACTCCAAAAATATGGGGGGAAAAGGACATTTTTCTCAATTTGTTTCCTCTTTTTCAGATGACTCTGTATTCTTTACCTTATATACGGTGTATTCACGTGCACATCTGTGGGAGGATGTGGGGAGGGCACAGAATCCAAGAAAAAAAGGGTGAAAAAGTGCAGCACACCAGACATTGATAAAAGTGAACTATGCAATGGGTGAAGATGGGAGGGAGGGAATG